CAAAGACAAGGCAACCCACGTGAAGAACAAAGATGCTAAACTGCGTCTTCTCGCCCGCGTACCCAGCCTTGATGGCGGCGGCCTCGACGTCCTTCTCGAGCTCCTTCACGGCGTACTCGAGCGTGGTGCGGGTGTCATCGACCTCGTCGACGATAAGGATGCGCTTGCCGAGCAGGTTGCTCATCTCGCCCAGGGCCGACAGGTCGAGCCATTGGGTGCGCGTGACCTTTGTCCCCGGGGCCTCCTCGACGCGGTCCGAGGCCAGCTTCTCGTACAGCGACAGGCCGATGGCCTGGATCGGGATGTTGGAGCTGCCGGGCGTCTTGAGGAAGGAGCGCAGGATCCGCGCGGGCACGTAGCCGCCGCCGCCGATGGCGATCATGAGCTGTGGGTTGAAGTCGGACAGGATCCGCGGCGCGGACTCCTGGCACAGCTTGTGCACCTGCGCGGGGGGGAGGGACAGACGAAGGTCGCACGTCAGAACATGGTCACTGTGCCGCATCGGCCGCCGAGGGGGTTTGCGCCGGAGGGCAAGTGGGGAGAGGGCATCTGCGGGTCGGAGCGGTCGTCTTAGTCCGCCGATGGGACGCGCGCGTGCGCGCTACCTTGCGGGCGATATGCTGCATGACGTCGCAGCCCGTCCTTCGTGGTACGACCGACCGCAACGGCCGGCCCATGTGGGCACGAGCGGGAGGGTGACGTGGGAGGCAAGCAAGGTTTGCGACTTACATCATTGTAGGTCACGTAGAGCTTTTGAACCATCTTTGCTTCCTTTTTTTGGGCTGGAGCGGCGCGCGTGAGGTGGTCGAGGAGGAAGGGCGAACGAGATGGGAGAAGAGCTAGTGCAGCAGGAGATATCTGCCTGGATACTTGGGCGAGAAAAAAAAGTATTTTCTGCTTTATTTATCTTTCCCCATTATTTACCAAGGAGGAACTCAAACCCACTCGGCAGGCAACAACTCTCTTCCCCACCATCGCGAAAAAAATTCGCGTTCCATGCGACTCACCCAAAGCCCGGCCCGGCCAAGGGCGTCCCGAAGAACCCCCACCAGCCAACCCCGCCTCCGAGACACCCCACCAAACACATCGAGATTGAGCGCTGACGTGGGGTCTGCTGGTGATGGGATGGTGCAAGAAAGGAAGGTGGTCACCAGCCAAGCAAGATCCAAGGCTTGTGCTAGTTTGTCACTGTCCCTTTGCAATGATGAGAACACAGAGGCAGCCAGGTTGTTGGTACAACATATCAGATCACTCACGTGAAGGCGCCGAGAAATCAGTAGAAGCACAATCTTATTACCCCCGCGTCACCCTTGCGACATCAGCAGGGCTGTCGATAGTCAGGTCATGCTATAACCAAAAACTCCAGACGCCGCATGGCCAACAGCCGTGTCCTGCAAAGGACCATGCGCAACACTCGGCTATCCCATTCAACCAAGAGCACCAAACTATCCCGCGCCCCATCTCGCGCCCGAGCCCTTACCCACCACACGCACACACACACAGGCGATGCGCGCGAGCCAAACCCCCCATCAGCTAGAAGCCGACCGCACCGACGTCTTGTGGGCCCTCTCGCGGCGGCGGGCCTCCCTGCGGCGCTGTCTGCTCTCCTTTCGGGCGGCCATGGCGCGGCGGCACTCGCCGAGCACGGCGGCGCAGAACCAGAGCACCCACATGACGGCCGAGACGACGGTGTAGGCCGTGGTCAGGCGCGCGGGCGCGCGCGAGATCATGAGCCCCAGCCCGCCGTTGACGATGCCCAGCGTGATGGCGACGCGGCCGTTCCACAGGTGCAGGTGCGACCACGCCTGCCGCCGCCCGAGTCGCTTGTAGGCCGCGTGGTGCAGGTAGCCCAGTACCGGCTGCGCCACCACCATGACGAGCACGACGAGGCCGATGATGGGGTGGAAGTTGACCGAGGGCTCGTTAAGCTGTGGGGGATAATGTTAGCTTATTGTCGACTGAGATATGAGGGGAGTGGGAGAAAAACGCAGGGTCACGGATCACACAGATCACATGCTGGATGCACTCACCAGAGTGCCGTTCCCAAACGGCAACCGCACCGTCTGAACCAGGTGGATGCCCAAGGCCGCGGCGGCCACGTATATGATGAGGGCGATCACCTGCGTGCCCGCGTGGACGAACAGGGCCAGGCGACCGGGGACGATGCGCATGAGTATGGAGCCGAGGGGGAAGAGGAGGACGAAGGCCAGCGCGGCCAGGATGCCGTGCACGGAGCGGTAGTACATGGTCCGGCTGAGGTCGAACCCGAGAAAGTTGCCGTTGTCGAACCCATTGGGGAACCCGTTGCCATCCGTCCCGAACCCGGCGTTGGGGTTGCCGAACCCGGCGCCGTTCCCGTTCCCGTTGCCATTGCCGTTTCCGCCGCCAAAGCCCCCATTTCCGAAACCCCCGTTTCCGCCGTTGTTAGGGTTGTTCCACCATTGTGGTGCTGCTATTGCTGGCGCAGCTTTTGGCCAAAGGGTTTGTCAGCTAAACAGAGTCCGAAGTGCAACACTACGGCAGGACGAGTACGTCGGGGATATATCAGCCTACAAAGGGATAGCCAGGCCGTGGCCTGTAGTATTTTTGTTCTGGATGTCATCTTTGGTTGAGCTGTCCGCAGGGAAAAGGGTGGAGTAAACCTTGGACTGGCAAACAGTAGAAGAAATCAAGTGTGAAATTAATGTTTACGGTGTTTCTTTTCCATTTATTTCATGTTCGCAGAAGAAAAGACCCTTGGGTTGGTAGGGTCCGGCAGACGAGGGATTTGGTAGTATAAGTGTGCTCCGGACCAAATATTGGGGTCGCCCGACGCCCCTCCTGGCTGACCGGCTGTCTGCGCTGACGATCGATACAGAAAATGGAAGTTAAAAAAATGGCAAAATACGTCAGCTCTGACTGAGCCACCCGTTTTCTCGGTCGCCGAATATCAGACGGTCTTGCTCAAGCCTTGGTGGTTGGTGACCATCGCTGGCGGACAGGCCGCATCACACCGTCCGTGCCCCGGCATTGACGTCGACGCGGGGATGCGCTGGGGGAGGCGGCGCACAGGCGGTTTAGGGTCTTCTCTGGTGTGAGGGGGCTGCACGCTGACGGTTGGTAAGGCCATCATGGTCGCAATCCTCGTGTCCCCTTCGGGCTTGGCCTGAGACCAGCTCCTCACGTCTTCTCTACAAGGTGGACAACAATGTGCCAGCCTCCTCGACAGACATGGACAGACCCCCCTTTTTTCTTTTTCTTTTGGTTCTAGCCTCTCATTGGATATTGTCCATGTTTTTATGTGACTGCATGGTCGTCGGGCGAGGAGATGGCCCCCGCCAAGAAGCGCGTTGGATGCTGGCCACGTACCGCGACGCAGATTCCCGCAGCTGCATGCCTTGGCTTGACGCAGAGTCGGCCGTCTTTGGCTCCGATAGGCCGACTGGTGGCAACCGGGCGGGTTGGTTGAGGCGTCCATGTCAATCCGTCCAAATCACCCTGTGTCACCCACATGGCAGCTGCCTCTGGGCCAACCAGAACACGATGATTTTGCTTGTATGGGGATGTACATATGCATGGCCAACCCGAGGGGTATCGCATTTGATCTCGACACCTGTATTTGCCAGTGTGCCAGTCCAGCGCAGTAGCGGGCGAGGGCACATGAGAATGACGCCACTTCCAAACCAAGCCCAGTTGGGTAGACTGTCTGTCGTCAGCTTGATCACGGCAAACACGACAGCCCCGACACCGGGTCGGTGCAGCAAACCAAGCCAAGCCCTGCCCTCGCAGGACTGGCGGGCATGGGAGAGAAAGCAAGAACCGAAAAGCACTGCTATGAGAACCTTTGAGCCGGCTTGGCAGCCGCCCTGCCAGTTCCCGACGGGTTCTACAGTTCACCGCCGGCGGCCCGTTGGTTGCGGAGCACAGCCATGAATCCAGCATTATTCCCAGAGCACAGCTTTCGGGAGCTTGCGCGAAACACGGAACCGTCTGTGGAACCGTCGTCGCCAGTCGTTTTCGCGGCTCATTTCTGGGGTTGCATCCCCCCTGAACATCCCGTTCCACCCACTATTAAATGCCGAGGAGAGCACACTTGGCTGAAGCAAGGCCAAAAAGGAGCAAGGCCAAAAAGACGGTCGAGGAAACAAAGACAGTCGAGGAACAAAGATGGTCGAGGAAACAAAGACGGACAAACTGCCACAGGTCCAAGCTCAACAAACCAGAACCAAGCAAACGGTAGCGCCCTCCTCTCCCAACTTCAGTCGCAGTCTGGGCCCAATCAAATGCGGACGGCCACGACTTCCGCTGGAACTTGGAGGCAGTGGAGGAGGACGGGCAGCGTCCCGGCAGCCGGGAGGAAATATGAACTCTGGCTGGGCAATCTTGGATGTTATTCGTCTTGGATGTTATTCTCCCCATCAATTTCCTGCGGCGAGCCAGCCCGTGCTTTCCGCGCGCGCGTCTTTGCTTTCCATTTCAGTGTTTCGTTTTCCACCAGTGCTAGCACAAAAACCTACTACCCTGTGCCCTCTCCTTTCCCCGGTGCCCTGGTTCCCCCTCGCTCGCCAAAAATTTGTCAAATCTCCACACCTAGCCAGACGTGGGTGGCAAGGATGATGGAGCATTGCACCAGCTCACTGGACGGTCCCGCCGGAAACTGACGAGGTCGTGTCCCGGGTGCGGTGTGCGTGCGTGCGTCCAATCTCGTGGGAGCCCAGAGCCGTGTCGGTGTCGGATGGGGCCTTGGAAGGAGTCGTGTCTTTTTTCCGTGTTCCCATTTCCATTCCTTCTCTCCCACACAATCCCCGTCCAGCCAGCCTGGACTAGACTGTCTGTCCCCCTGAAGGCTTTGCAGTAGCAATTATGGACGGCTCAGGCATCGCCATCGACCCCCATCTGCCCCGGACCGACATCATCGCTCTGGAGAACCTGATTGGGGATATTCGGGAAGCCAGGGCCGCCGTCGCCAATGACGACGCGCCGGGAGCCGCAGGGCCCGGCTCGGCGCTGACCGCCGACGGGGCCGGCGAAACCATCAGCGTCGCCCGCAGCGGCAGCCCCAACGGCAGCGGCCTGGGCCTGCTCGCCGGCGACGACCTTGAGGCTGTTGCCAGCGGCCGTGCGACGCCACATGCCGGCAACGCCGCCACCGACCGCCGCAGCTCTCCGTCGTCAAAGAAGCAACTGCCGACGAGCGGTAGGTACCTTTTCTTTTCTTCTTGGCTCCATCCAACACATGTTCCTATCTCGTCTGGAATTTCCGTTCCCGGCCGCCCGTCATTGCGGGTGTTCTGAAGTCCCGCCACTGGGTAGCATCCGAACCGCATAACCGCATGTTCCGTGCCGCACGTGCAAAATGTCGGGTGGTTTGGCGGTGCTATACTCGCCTGCAGACATGTGCTTTTTTTTATTTTATATATATTTTACTGTAGCCGCAAGTCCAATTCGGATGTCATCAGATGAACAGCTTCTGACCACACATCCCATGGCTATCTAGACGGTGTTGTCTTGGACAAGGGTGCCCGCCACAAGTTGGCCCAGGAGGCCCTCGAGTCGCTGAGCGACCCCAAGAACCCCAACTTCGAGCCGACCGTCTTCGTCTCGGTCGACCTCAAGGACCTGAAGCTGCCCGCGTTTGTGGACCGCTACCTGCTGCGGCCTTACATCGGCGTCGCGCAAAAGGTGGTGCGCTACAAGACGGATGTGGTCATGCTCACGCACCTGCTCATCTACTTCACCACCACCATCCCTAGCGCCCTCTGGCTGTTCTGGAGCTTCACTTGGACCCACGCCGTCCTCCACTTCCTCATGCAGCTCTTCTACATGCCCACCTACACCCTCATGATGCACCAGCACATCCACCAGCGCGGCATCCTGGCCAAGGGCTGGCCCGGCCTGATCGACTACGCCTTCCCCTTCGTGCTCGACCCGCTCATGGGCCACACGTGGAACTCGTACTACTACCACCACGTCAAGCACCACCACGTAGAGGGCAACGGGCCGGGCGACCTGTCGTCCACCATCTACTTCCAGCGCGACAACCCCTGGCACTTTGCCCAGTACGTCGGCCGCTTCTACTTCTTCGTCTGGCTCGACCTGCCCCTGTACTTTTACCGCACGCGCAAGTACAAGCTCGCCGCAAGGTGCGCCTTCTCGGAGCTGGGCAGCTACGCCGCCATGTACTGCCTGTGGCGCTTCGTCAACGCCCGCGCCGCCTTCATGGTCGTCATCCTGCCCTTCCTGCTCCTGCGTCTCGCCTTCATGGCCGGCAACTGGGGTCAGCACGCGTTTGTGGACTGGGAGGACGCCGACTCGGATTATCGCTCCAGCATCACCCTCATTGACGTGCCTGTAAGTATTATTTTTTCCCCATGCATGAACCCCGGACGGACAACGGCATTGGCAAATGATGGATAGCTAACACATGCCAAAAGAGCAACCGCTATTGCTTCAACGACGGGTACCACACGTCTCATCACCTGAACCCCATGAGGCACTGGCGCCAGCACCCGGTATCCTTCATCAAGGAGAAGGAGACGTACGCGCGGGAGCGGGCGCTCGTGTTCCACGGGCTTGACTTCAACATGATCACCATCAAGTGCCTGCAAAAGGACTATATGTACTTGGCACAAAAGCTGGTGCCCATGGGCGACCAGATCCACATGACGATGGAGGAGCGAGCCGAGATGCTCCGGCAGCACACACGCCAGTTCACCAAGGAGGACATGGCGCGCAAGTTCCGCACCCCGTCGTGAATAATTGTGGGCGCGTCGAGGGAGTCGAGGGACTTGGGGTGCTGACCGGGTTCGTTCCCCGAAGACCGGGACGACGGGCTGCTGTACGATATTTAGAACTTAATGCCAAGGATCACTAAGTAGCCCCTTTTACCCGGTCAGTTTCCGAAAACGATGGGAGATCCGGGGCTGGGCTCACCAGACCCAGATGGATATAGACGGGATAGACGCAATAGCAAAGAGCCATTGGCCCCCCTGATGAAATCACCACCCCTTGTGTGCAGGACAATGTCGCGAAGTCCTTGCTAGGCCCGGACGGGAGATGATTGCGGACGATAGCTCGCTTTGCAGAGACTGCCTAGATCGAAACCCGACAAGCGCCCTGCGCACCTGGAAGTCAATGCGAAAGAGAGCCGATTCGTGTTCTCCATGTGGTCCAAGAGTACGACCCCGCCCTGGAACGGCTTAGGGGACCTTCCCTACCAGGCGAACCTCTTGTTGTGGTGTTGTGGTAGCCCCGGTGAGAGAAGATGGTTGGGTTGCACTCGTCGCGCGTTGATGTTTCGGATCCAAGAGGGGTTCATCAGTGGCACCCACCCACCTCAGTGACGACATAAAAAAAAAACTTAATATCCCTTCAATTGTGCACGGCCTTGCCTTTTGTCATGGCGGAGCCACAAGTTCACGATGCACACTGCATGAAAATGGAATGCTGGCAGCCGCCTCGATCCGATCCGATCATCGGGTCCCAGCTCAAGGGCGGACCAGATCGCGTGAGTGGATATGTCAATATCCTCGCTTTTATGCTCCGGCCGGGGCGCGCCTGGAAGGTTGTGCCGGCATGCAGGCGGGGGAGGAAGAGAGCACACAGTCGCAGGGCTAGGGGAAGGCCTGGAGCGTTGCAGCCAGACGTGGTGGACATTGCTTTGCGCGCTTTCAGGGGGGTGCATTGGCACGCGTTGCGACGGAAAGTCGGCATCGCGGAATTGCTGCCGCTAACGACATGCTCTTACGTTATTGGAGGATGGCACAAGAAGCAGGGGACTTGACCTAGAGCTGCACTAGGTACGCAAGGTCGGTGCCTGTCTAGTGACACGGGGAGCGGAGGGAAGCCCGCTAGAACCATGCGTCGCCGAACAGTCGCGAGCCGTGGGACAGGGTGCAGCCTAGAAGCACAGAACCTTTTGCACCCTTTTTGGTTCGCGTGCTGTTGCTTGTTCGGGGATGTGATGGCGTGTCCCACAGACGTTCTGGCCGTCCTTTGTTGGTGCGAGGCAGCCGAGATACACAGAGCACACACTTGTCGGTTGATTGGCTTGCTCTTGCTGGTCCTTCCTTGGAAAATTGTGCCGCCCCTTTCTTGCTCGTTTCTCCCTATCCGTCGTGGGGTGCAGGACCCCTGCTGATATGTTCCTGCCAGGCAATGCTAGGGCAGGCATTTTTCTTGGATCCTGCACTAGCGCGGGCTGATCTGCGGCTTCCCGTTGAAGAAGCGGGCAAGCTGACAGGAGAAAAAGCAAGTGTAAGGGACCGCGCCCAAACGGACGGAATGGGCTGCTGGCGGAGAGGGTCGCTGCTCTGTCTATTGCAATTAGCACGGGCTGGAGGCAGCAGCAGTGGATCACTGGACATGATGAACCCCCGGAAGGGATTTCCCGTCTGCCGGGGCGAGCTTCTCCCAGAGTTTGACCCTCTGGCGCGCGCTCGAAACGAAACGCGAGAGGACCGACCCCGGCAACGCAAAGCAACACACCCAAAGCAACCCAACAAGCGCAGCGGTCATCACTCTGTGCTGATTTGTGCCGACATTCTTTTGTGCTGCCCACAGGGCCAACCCGAAATTCGTTACTTGGGGTGGTCTCGCCGTTTGATTCTTCTTCTTCTTCTATTCTTTCAGCAGCTACTTTCTTTGGTCTTCATCGATCCCATCGCCGACTCATCGTGGGCATATCGTGGGCATGATCTTCCTCGCTTGAGACTCGGCACCCACTCACATACCCGCTCGTCTGCTGCTTAGAAAAGCTCCGAGGACCTCCTCGCTTGAGCTCTTGCTCCAGGACACTCAAGCTGCTGCCAGTAGTCCGATCTTGTGCGTTCGCGAGCTCGCCCATCGCTTGAGTCCCAGGCCAGAAAAGGGCCGCTGACAAGCGCGTGCAGCCCTCACTTTAGCTCCCGATCAGACCTCGCACCTCAACGGCCCGTTGGGCGGTCTGCCCGTTGCCGAGATGGACGAGAGACGCCAGTCTAAAATCCCGAGCGCCCTTCCGCGGCCTACGTCACGACTACCACAACCACGCTCGGCCGCGCCCTCGATCCGTCCGTCTGCATCCCGCGAACAGCTAAATGCTGGTGGCAGCGAGCTCCGCCTACCCAAGCCCCGGACGGCCGCCTCCCGCGATAGACTCGGCAGCTCGATTCCTCCTGCAGCACGCAAACAAGCACCAACACCAACATAGCAACCGCCAAAGCCCCAGACCAGGTCTGTGTCTAGGCGGACCTCGTCGGTGCCTCCGAGCGCCGAGCCCTCTACCGAATCGCCGGCCCCGGCCGCACAACAGACGGATGTGCTGTTCAAGAGGAGGTTGACGCTTACGAGGCGTCCTTCTGAGGTCTTCAGCCACAGCCCCATCACGCCGGCAAAGGAGAGGCAAGACCCGTGGAGTGCTCCTGTCCCAATCGAGACATTAGACCTTGAACAAAGAGCAGAATCGAGGCCGTCTCTCTCGGAGAGAACCATTGAGACATTGTCTCAGCTGCCGTCCTCACCTGCCCTCAGCGGGAAAGCATCGGCCTTCTTTGACACCGGGTCCATACCACAATCACCCTCGCGTCCCGGCAGCCGCGCCTCACGCGGGTCTGGTTCTCGGCCGAGCTCAAGCTACCAGAAAGATGTACAGTCTCGGTCAACGTCAAGAGGGCCCAGCAGGCCGCCATCAAGTTCCCGCCAGGACCACTCGTCGATGCTCGCAAGGCCTTCGAGCGCCTTCAAGACGCCGCTTGCAACCATCAGGGGAACACCTACCCAAGGCACACCTGTAGGGATGAAGACGCTCCGCGCCTCTTCGTCCCAGTCTCGACTTACCGCCCCCAGCACTGATAAACTGCGAGCCTCGGCCCGCGCAATTCCCACACCGAGCTCGAAGATGCCGCCACCAATAGCAAGGTCAAGAACGCCGAGCCCGGAGAAGCAACCCGGACTTGCCGAGAACAGCAAACCCATTGCCAAGACGCTGGCAGCCCGGCCTCTCAAACCGCGCCAATCGGCTAGCAACCTTTTCAAGAAGCCGTCGGCGTCAGCGGCCGAGAAGCCAGCGGCCGCGGGAACGCCAACGGTGCGCAAGTCGTCTCTCGTCTCCCAAAAGTCATCCAACACCTCTGGCGACGACGCTACCCAATCGAGCTCCTCGCCCACGTCTACGGTGCTCACGGTCGACTCGAGCGAGTCGTCCATGGCTGCGTCTAGGAAATCGTCAGCCGCACTCCGAGATCAGATTGCCAAGGCCAAGGCGGCGAGGAGGGAATCTGCCAAGCAGCAGAAATTACTGCAGCAGCGGGAGGAGGAAGAAGAGGACGCAGAGGGTGGTGTATCAGCGTCTGCTGGGCCGCTGTCTCAGCCTGTCAAGTCACCCCTTATACCCACGGATACCACCTTCGACTTTGGCCTCGCCGACCACCACACTTTCGGAATTCCCGATAATCAGTTTGGCATGGTAGACATTCCCTTTGGCCAGCGGCGAAGCGAGACGGCAAAGGCTAGAGTGCTCGATGCCCGATTTGGGACGGCCCGCACCAGCGGCAGGCTGGACCTTGCAGCCCTCAGCCTGCGGGAGATACCCCGCGAGGTTCTCAAGATATATGACTTGGCTTCGATCGGCACTCAAGACGGCTCCTGGGCTGAGAGCGTTGACCTGACTCGGTTCGTGGCCGCCGACAACGAGATCGAGATGATCGACGACGTGATATTCCCCGATCGGGACCCGCACGACTTCAACGACGACGAGGAAGGATCCGGTGGCGTGTTCTATGGCTTGGAGACGCTTGACTTGCATGGAAACATGCTCATCTCTCTGCCCACTGGGCTCAGGCGTCTCCAGTGTCTGACATCTGTGAACCTGGTGAGTTCGCATTATGTTATCAGCATTCTAGTTCTCTTAGCGTCTTTGCTAACCACCGGCGCTTAGTCCTCCAACCGGATCACCAATCCCTCCTCGCAGCTCATCTCTGAGATAACCTCGCTTCGTGATCTCAAGCTCGGGGGAAATCTCTTCTACGGCCCCCTGGACGCCTCCTTCTCCAAGCTGACCAACTTGGAGATCCTTGACCTGCATGGGAACAACATCTCGGCTCTACCTACTGGGCTCGTGGCCCTCCAGAAGCTTCGGATTCTCAACCTCAGCGAGAATAGCTTCGAGGCTCTGCCATTCAAGATACTGTCCCAACTACCGCTCACGGAGATCCTGGCGCGAAAGAACAAACTCAGCGGTGTTCTTGTTGACGATTCTGTCGAGTCGTTGGAGAACCTCCAGAGCCTGGATGTGTCATCCAATCAGTTGACACACCTGGTCTCTCCGGACAGGGCCAGTGTGCTTGCAATGCCGTCGCTGCACCAGATATGCGTATCTATGAACAGACTAAAATCGCTTCCCGACCTCAGCAAATGCCCCAGCCTGCTCACGCTTACGGCGGATGAGAACAGCATCAGCGCTATCCCCGAGGGGCTGATCAGCCTCACCAGTCTCAGGCATGTCGACTTGTCAAGCAACGACGTGCGAATCATACCGGCAGAGATTGCTCGCATGGTCAACCTGGCAATGATTAGACTGAGTGGCAACCCTCTTCGTGACAAGAAGTTCTGCTCAATCTCGACTGAGGAACTCAAGGAAATTCTGGCCTCTCGTCTGGCGCCCACCGAGGAGGAGATGGAGGAGGAGTTGGATGACATAGCTTTCCCCATGCGTGGAGACATGCACAAGGAGGCGGCGCGTGCGAAATCGTCGGTGGTTAAGACTGGCGATGATTTTGACGACAGTCGTTGCTCGGACGAGGACTTTGCCACACCTCCCACGTCGGCCCCGCACTCTCCGGCACGCTCTCGGTCACACACGCTGTCTAAGGAAAGCTGGGTGGTCAAGCCTGGCGGCGTTCTCGACCGATCCAAGACGGAATCCTCGTCTCTCCACCCTGTCCTGTGCTCTCGCGCGTCGTCGGAGCACCGCATCCGAGAGGTTCAGCTTCACCACAACCTGTTCTCAGTCATGCCCGAGTCTCTGTCATTTTTTGCCGAGACACTGACGTCTCTGTCCCTGTCTCACAACCAGCTGACGGGAGAGTCGTATATGGGGGATTCCGGCAGCGGAATGAAGCTGGAGCTGCTCGCGCTGCGGGAGCTCAACCTGTGCGCAAACCACATCACGAGCCTGGTGCCGCTGATTAACAATCTCATCAGCCCGGCCCTCCAGAAGCTGGACGTGAGCGCCAACCGCATCTCGGCGCTGCCGCCCGGCACTCAGCTCAGGGATGCGTTTCCGGACTTGACGGTCCTCCTCGTGTCTAACAACCACCTGGTGGACCTCGAGCCCGATAGCATCAAGGGCATGCGGGTGGTGGACGCTTCCAACAACGATATCGCCCACTTGAACCCTCGCATCGGCCTCCTGGGCGGCACCGGCAGCAACGGCGCGGCCGTAGGCCTCGAGAAGCTGGACGTCATGGGCAACCGGTTTCGAGTGCCCAGGTTCAACGTGCTCGAGCGCGGCACCGAGTCGACGCTTAGGTTCCTGCGAGGGCGTATCCCCGTGGCCGAGATGGCGGCCTGGAAGGAGAACAACAAGGACAGTGGGGCGTCTCACTCGAGTGACGACGAGGTGGACTAAAAACAAAGAAATATCACGACTTGCATACGTGTACTAAGAGGGGCATCACGACAACAATCTTTGATAAACAAGCGGATACAGCACAATGCCTGTTTACTCTAATGGGCCACCATCCGCCTCTGTATCGACATTTCCCCCATGGGGATCAACTGCAAACAAACCCTTTCGACATGGCTCGAGAGCCAAGAGCCAGAGGCACCGTCGATATTGTATAATTTTTACTCGTTAGTGTATGTATCTGGCATCAAGGGCAGCATCAGGAGGGGCGGGACAGGCGCAATTGAGACAGCAGGTGGCCAGGGAAAAGATTTCTGTCAGTCAGCTGGGGCTGCATGACATGGTCCTTGCCAAACACACCCTGGGTTTGCCTGCTTTGTTTTCCCTCTTCCTCGAAGACTATTTTTATGGGTGTTATTACTTAGTTATTCTGCTTGTATGCCTCACGTTGTGACTGCATTGGAAGTGATGATGCTCATTGGAGGTATCGTGTCTTGCAGGAGGAGGAGGAGGCGCGTTTGATACGAAAACAATTACATTTTTTAATACTCGACAATGCTGAGTTTGTGGATAACTATCTGAACACTCGTTTGGCCACGCTTTGATTGATGTCGGCTCTATTTGTGTTTTTCTCCTTGGTCCCGTTCCTATTCCTGTTCCATTCCTCGAAAGAACTGCCTTTTTTTTTTTTTTTTTTTTTTGTGGTGGGCGTGTCACGATGTGACCAGCGCGGAAACGAGCAGCAAGTGACGTCTTACTTCATGTTTGGATGAGGCTAGCACGGCAAGATGGGGGAGTATACCCCTGTAAGCGGCATTGGCCTGAGATGTGTTTAAGTTTGGGGCTCGGGTCGGTTGGCGTTTGTCTCACGTGGCCACGCTCCATAACAGACAAGCACCCATTGGAGCGAGCAGACACGGACTACAGACGAAAAAAACAGGCGACTCTGTTTTCCCCGCAAAGCCGCGCCCAAACACAAGCTCCCTTTTTTGTCCCACAGTCACTTCTCCAAATTGTCATGCTGCAAGGGACAGCGGAGCAATTGAAGTGCGAGCAGTGACTCGTGGGGCGGAGGAATGCTCGATCCGAACATGTCGGCCGCGCCAGCAGCACCAGCGCCGTCACCAGCAACGCCTGGCGAGGGCGGCGCAGGCGGCGCGGGCATTCTCGTCAACGCGGCCGATCTGGACCGCGCCCCGCCCGCTGTCAGGGAATACCTCCTGAGCCTGCTGCGACGCAACAGCCGCCCGCGCGCCCATGGGGCTGAGGCCGGCGCTGAGACGGATATCGCAACAACCACGGCTACCACTTCAGCCATCGCCACTTCCACCACCACCCCCAACATCAACACCGCCATTGGCGCAGGGCCGCCAGCAAACAGTACTATAGATGATACCCAACATCAGGATGGGGCTGCGGCCCACAATACAAACAGCGACGGCAACGCCCTCGTCGTACAAGCAGTGGCGCCGCCGGTACAGACCGCCACTGTCATCGCTGCCGTCGCCAAAGATAACATCGTCGCTGCAGCATCAGCAACGCCCGTGCCGCCACCAGCAGCGGCGCCTCCTACCCCACCGCCCTCGTCCGATGAAGGTGCTGCGGCGGCCGACCCCCAGGCGGGGTTCAAGACCCTGGCCAAGCAGGTCGCCGACATGGCCACCGAGCTCTCGCTGCTGCGTTCCGAGACCAAGATGCTCCGGGATGTCATGGCCGAGTCTGGCGTGCTCAAGAGCGACGGCACGGCGAGAGAGACCACGGCTGCCCCCACCGGCTCCGCGGATGTCGTGTCGCCGTTCCTCCAGGCCCGCGTTCTAGAAGCGCAGCGGAGAGTTTGGGAGTATGGAGGCGTAGTAGCGCCCCCGCCTTCTCACTACGACGGCGACGGCGACGTGTTCGCAAGCCCCGGGCCACCTCCATTTTCGCCTTTGTCTGACGTGGTGGGGCCTCGGACTCCTACTCGGTCGGGAGATGATGATACAGTGGTTGCGGCTTCCGCCCCTGACAGCCCCGGACCGCCGGTCTTGGAACCCGACGAACCTGTCGCTGCGGTGCTTCAGCACCAGCCAAAAACGCCCCAGCGCTGTCCTCGTGGAGCTCCGCGTGCTCAGCCGCGCCAGCCTGATGTGACCTCGACTCCCCGTCCAGCGATGGGTGTCTTCCCCACGCAAGCGAGCACTACCCCGGCGACTTCGGGATTGCGCTCAGGTAATACCTCTGACGCCATCTTCTCGAGAGCGCAGTTCGGCCTGGACCCACGCTCGTCGCCCATCGTCGCTCGTGCCCGTTCCCTTCCGCGCCTCCCAGAGCGTCGCCGGTCTGTAGCCGTCCGGGCTCGTACGAGCGTGGCCCGGGAGGTGCAGCCGAGACCGGTGAGGGTGAAACGCCACAAGGACGTCGAGTACGAATGGAAGGCGGGCCAAGGTGGCCATGTTCTGCTTCTCAAGCCGACACCCGAGCAGTATGCGGACCTCAAGGGGACCCAAGACGGCTGCCCACTGCTGTTCCTTTGCGCCGAGGAGCTCGGGGCGCGGCGCCACGGTGCCTTTATCATCGAGATCCCGGAGGCCTCGCGACCAGTGATCCCTGAACAGCCGGCTCTAGAAAGGATATGTACCGTGTATAAGCAGCAGAAGCTGGCTTCTGGGTTTTGGAGACTATACACATCGTCCGGCCGGCGTACTATACCTCAACCCGGTGCCTTCGAGCCGGTCGGGCTGGACGAGGCCACACGCGAGTTCGAGAAGCGCCTTTCGGTCGGCAAGACGCTGCAGCGGGTCGCATACGAGACGGACATCCCGGCGCATACACCAGAGGAGCGCACTGAGGCGCTTTTGCCCCTGGAGAGCCCAGTTTACCCGCTTCGTGGTAACAAGCTCGAGACCACGGGCATCCCCGGCATCCACACCCCGAGCGCGTACCGCGGTACCACTTGCGCACCATTCGCATGGCATTTCGAGGATTTGAAGCTGGGCGCCATCAACTGTCTGTACCGCGGCCAAAAGGTCTGGTTCGTCACGGAGCCTGCCTCGTTCGATGCTGCGTCAAAGGTCTTTGGCGAGATCACTAAGAAGGCCGTCGACCACGACCAGTTCCTCCGCCACGACGCGCTGCACTACGGCGCCAGTCACCTGCGCAGCCAAGGCATCGTGACGAGGGGCTTCATGCAGGATGCGTGGCAGATGGTGGCTGTGTACCCGGGCGCCTACCACTCTGGATTCAGCGCGACGGGCACGCTGGCAGAGGCGGTCAACTACGCCGACTACTGGTGGACCGCCCCCGTCGGATACCGGCCCTGCTCCGAAAAGTGCCACCCTGGGAGGGAGCCCATCACTCTGGAGCAACTTATCCCAGGCGAGATAAGTCAGCCACCTGAGGAGCCGCCCTCTCCAACGTCTATAAAAGTCCAGATAAAGCCACTGGGACCCCCGTTGCGAGCCATGGGTCACATCGATGCCAGCCCTGCAGGGAAACCGCCGGGAAAGCGGTCAGGGTCAACCATGCCTAGCGACGTATCGATGGGCGAACCGGCGCTGAAGCGCGTAAAAGAGTTCCACAGACCGCCGTCTCTCGAGGTTCTAGCCCTGGAGCTGACAGGCCCGTCGGCCGAGCGGCGCCTCAGGCGCCAGATGCTCGCTTATAGCAAATATCCGGAGATCCTTCCCCAGCCCTGGGATGACAAGGGAAGCTGGGTACAGCAGACGAGGGATTACATAAATCTCGGAAACGACATGAAACGCAGAAACTACTCGACTGCCCCCACCGAGTTTACCAAGCTGGTCGGGCTCGTTGCGAGGGCCACCGCCACCACGACCATATACACAGGAGGAGAGGGCGGGGGCATTGGGAGCGCAGCTGATGTGAAGTCATTGTCCATAGGCGCCATCGAGCAGGTCCGCGACAGCCTAGGGATCGAAATGAAGTCCCAGCCGTTTAAGTTCTGGCTGGCGGCGCAGCGAAAGTTCATCCGGCTCGGGCTGGACAGTGCGCCCTTTCTGCCTTTCGAGAGCAGCAGAGACGCGGCGTTTCGGGACTACGAGCGCGTCGGCAACGCGGGAATCGAGGAGATCCGCACCATGCTGAACAACGACCCACACGCGCGAAAAGCTGCATGGGCCGGCCAGGGGCTCATCCATCGCATCTTGGGCAAGAAAGACTTCCTTTGGGAGCGCATCAGCAACAGCGGCGACGATTTAGAGAAGTTGGACGGGGACACCTTGCTCTCGCTGGTCCCGATCCGATACGCTGAGCACTGCGAAGTCGACAGCGAGTGGAAGCCGCCGCAGGAAATGCCAGAGCTCGAGAGGCCAGATGCCGTGCAGGGAAAGCGCTGCGAGCTGTGCGAGGACGAGACGTGCGGCTGCATACGCACCTGCTTTCCGCAAGAACCTCGCGTGTCCTTTGCCGAGCCCAACGGCCCGACTGCCCGGGCGGCGGTGGCCTACAAAAAGGGCGCCCTGATTGGTGAGGTGACCGGGGTCATTCACTCCCCTGGCACCGTCGCCGAAGATGGCCACGCTGTAGACTTTGTCAGGCCCGACGGCTCGTCGCCCCCTGTGCTCCGCGTGGCCGGCCGCATCATCGCCCGCGCGGCGGGCAACGTCTTTCGACTCTGCAAGTATAGGTGCGGGGACGCCGAGGCCAGGTTGGTGACCATGGCGATTTCTGGACGCTGCCGCATGGTGGTCGTCGCGGAGAGGGACATCGGCGAGGGCGGCGAGATATCGATCAAGACGCAGAACAAGGCCGAACCCTGTGCATGTACCGACTGCGCCCCGTGAACTGTAGTTGTTGGGACTATACGATTGTACTACATACTTTTTTTCTCTGTCTCTTTTCTTCCTGGCCCACGGGCACACACCCCTGTATTTGCTGTTCGTCTCCTGCTCATTGAAATTTTGGCGCCTGTTGGCAAACCTTTGCTTCACCTATCAAGCATATTGATGACCATTTTCCCATCCCAAACCACGAGTGCAATGTCCCCGGTGCCTGTCATCTCGTCTCTTGTATCCTTTGACAAAGTTCTCCGGAGACAACAGGCAACAAAGCTCTCTAGACAATGGATACCGTTGCTTACTCTCTCGGCGGCATCAGACGTCATCCCGCCACTCGTTCCTCTCGTGGACGCCGGCGCCCAGCAGCGAGGGCTCCAGGCGCGGCCCGTTTGCGTGACCGCCGCCCCCGGCAGCAGCGCTGTTGGGGGCAGCGCCGCCCCCAAGTAGAGGGGCGCCGGCGCTGCGGGTCCCGGCCTCTTCGTCGTCGGCCCCGTCTTCTTCTTCCCGGACGCGGTCCGTGTAGGCGCCCTCGTCGCCGTTGGCCAACAGGCGCCGCTGCTGGTGGTTCTGGTCCGGCGACAAGGACGATGAAGAGGACCCCTGCTGGTCGCCAAACATGCTGTCGAGCCAGGCGGCGCCGCGGCTGCTGCCGCCGTTGCGGCGGGGGGAAGAGCTCCGGGCGAGCATGAGTACGGAGACGATCTGGGTTGTGAGTTGATGCATGTTAGTTTATTTGGGGTACCTATTATGTCCTTGACGGGTTGGAGCCCGGCCCCTCCTACCTGAAACGAAGTCACAACCAGAACCACCCCGAGCTCGACCCCGGCGTTCCACCGCGTCGCGGCCGTCCAGGGGCCCCGACAGGCCGTGTGGCGGCCCCACATGGCCTCGCAGCGGTCGGCCGGCACCCCGTTCTCGCCGCCGCGCGCAAAGGGCCAGGCGCGGTCGCGGGGCGAGTTGAAGCCGCAGCAGGCGAGGCGGTCCTGGATGCGGCGGATGGTGGCCTCGTCGTGCGCGCTGTACATGCGCCGCCACGCCGCCTCGAGCAGGCACGGCGCCACGGCGGCGGGGGCGCCCGCGCCCGCGGCCAGCAGCGTGCCGAGCACGGTCGACGCGAGGGCCTGGAGCGCCTGGAGCGCGGCGGCGGTGAGGAAGGGGCGGTGGCGGTTTGGGGAAGGGTTGGCTGGCTGTTTGTTGTTGGTGTTGGCGGTGTTGGTGGTGGTGTTGGTGGTGGTGGTGAGGCGGCGCTGGCGGGCGGCGGAGACGCGGTGCGCGTAGAGGGCGTTGAGGAGGGCGAGAAAGGGGAGGATGAGGGTTGGGATGGCGAGCGGGGAGGTCGGGAGGGAGAGTTGGTTTGCGATGACGGTTTCGTAGCTGATGGGCAGGGTTTGTTAGTGGTTTGTGTGTTGGGTGGGATATACCTAGTAGGTTGGGGTTGTCTTACATGGCCACGGCCACCACACCGAAAAAGGCCTAGGCGCGATCGTTGTTGTCAGCAATCAGTGGGGTCACAAGTCGATCATAGGGTATCCTTCTCTCCGTACGAGGATGAGGCCGACGGCCGGCAGAATGCCCTTCATATTGTGCTGTTGCTTGGCTCCGAGGGTTGGTTGTAGATGAGTTGGGGCGTTTGTTGTTAGGGATAAAGTTGGAGGGGAGGGAGCACGAAGCTTTAAATACCGACCTCGCAATTTTTGCGGCTCGCAGCTTGGCCAGTGCTTGGTCCTCGGCCACACGCGTTGACGCCTAAATATGCGGGAGGCCCTCCAGCGAAGGAGGGGTACTGTAGGGGGAAAGCAGCGCCAAGACGCGGTATGGACATGCGGGTTACCGCTCTCCTTCCGTCTAGCTAGGCCGTCAAATCAGAGGCCCTAGATAAAATCCAAGAAACAAACCAAATGCCCCAAAAATCCAAGCTACCAGCCCCCAAAGCCCATCCCAACTACAGCACATTGTGAATCACCTCGACCGGCGGCAGCCTCTCCCGCACGTCACACCCCGTCTCCCCAACGCCCTGCCCTCCGCCCGCGTCGGCGCCGACCAGGAAGCCCCAGTCGGTGTTCCAGACCTCGATCTGGGCGCTCAGCCCGTCGGCCGCCTCCCGGCCCACGGCGGCGGCGACGGCGCCGGGCCCGCGCGCCGCCTCGAGCAGCCCGGGCCCGGCCATCTCTGCAAAGTGCTCCACCCAGTTGGTCAGCGAGTATGGTGTCGCGACCGCAGCGTCCCGCCGTTCCGCCTCGCGCCACCGCTCCGTCGACGAGTACAGCTCACCATCGCCGCCACCGCCGCCGTCCCCGCTCATCACCAGCTTGTGCAGGGCGGCCGGCCAGCCCCGCGCGTGGCGCCGGAGCCAACCCGCGACGCCGGAGCCGGAGCCGGGGGTCGACTTGGGGCCGCTGTAGGGGGGCCGCCAGTTCGGCGACGCGTAGTGGGCGTCGACGATGTGCGCCGCCTCGTGTGCCAGCAGCCGGAGCTGCCAGCCTCCCGGGCGGACGATGATGTCGGATTCGGCGCTAAAGGCGTCCCACCAGTCGTCTTCGGGCGCGGCTGCTGGGATCGCGACGACGGTGCTTGTTTTTTGTCAGCTTCGGATATGTATGCCCAAGGCTTGTTTTGATGCATGTAGGAATGGAAGTGAGCGGAAAGACATCTTACCGGACCAACTCACGCATGCGGATTGGGAGTTTTCCAAACATCTGCCAAGTCGTGCTGTCAGACACTTGCTACGACCGAACAGAGCACCCTCTGTGGAGCTAGAGATTGCATACTTCGGTCATGTCTTCGATGCTCCTCTGCGCATCGACGTGTCGGCAAAAGATCCAGGGAATGTCGCAGTCGTTGTAGGTCACCTAGCTAATTAGCCCCTTACCAGAAACGAAAGAAAAAAATACAAGACAGCCGGGGCGGGTCAGGCATACATTGTAGACGTCGAAGTCGAAGCCCGGAGACACCGACGGGGACTCGGCGTGGTACGCCGCGCAGTTCAGCGGCAGCAGCCCGGAGCGCCAGGGATCGACCCTGGACGGGACCGCCGGGAGGACCTCCCAAAGCGCGGCGTCGATGGCGTCTATCGCAGTGGTATTCAGAGACGGCTTGGAGTAGACGCCCGTCAGCTCGCCTTCGACCTCGAGCTTGCTTACGCCCGCCTGCGGCCTGGAGCTCCCCGTCTTGGAGAGGGAGGTCGCGGTCGCCTGCTGAGCCACGAGCAGGCCAACCGCCAAGGCCAAGAGCGGCCTTGCTTGCCCTTGAATGAGCATATCTTCTTGCGGCGTTGTGATCTCGTTTCTTTATCCAAAGTTGATCGCCAAGGTCTAGGTAGTGTTCGTCTCGCACACTGGCGTTGGGGGATAAAATGGAGGGCAAAGATTGGAGAATCGGGGACGGGACGACATATTTATCATTGGCGACGAAAGGGTGTAGCTATTGCAACAAGTGACCACGCCGCAATCAGTCCATGCTGGCAACCCGTTCCCTCCACTCCACGTTGCTTGCAGAACACTGGAGGGCCGAGTGTCATGCCCACCACACACGGCAAGCTCAACTGAGTGATTAGATCTAGCCGACGATAGAATCACCCAAACGAGACATGCTCCATCCTGACCTCGATACCCAACGGAGATGTGCAAGATCAGGCAAGGGTCGTGCGCAGGAGGTTCGACGTGATTAAAGATGCCTTTGATATTGCAGAGTTAGGTTATGGGTGAGTGCTTGATGAGGCTTGGAAGGGTGTCTCCTCATAGAGGTCCAGGTCAACCAAGGTCTCTGCGAATTCAGAACTCTTCAGGCAGAGTGGTTCGAGTGCAATCGCCCTGGCCCACGCAAATTCCAAGCTGACAAGCTGTCACGAAGGTCGCATGGTGTCGATCACCGTGGCTCTTAAAGCACACAGCGTAAATACCAAGGGCATTCCGAAAGGATATGTGCCTAGAGTCAACTACATTAACTTGCTCGACGATGGCGCTTCACCCAACAAACACGGCAAACTTGGCAAAGTCGACATCAGCCCTCAGCCTCTCCAGGTCCTCGTCGCGAAGCGAGACGGCGAGCGCGATGCCACCGTCGGGCGCGCGCGGCATCAGGTACGCCAGGCCCTCGAACGGGTTGAAGCGCGGCCTGCGCACCGCCACGGGCATGCCCAGCCCCAGGCCGAAGTCGAGGCCGTACAGGGCCGGGCCCAGCTTGGCCCACGAGCTCAGCATCAGGTCCGAGGCCGGATCGACCGTGGCCGTGAAGGAGACCCCCGACAGGTCGGGGGTCTGCGCCACGTAGGTCATGATGGCGCGCGCGAGGCGGGCCAGATCCCACGCGGGCTGCGCGTCGTCTGCCGACGATGATGACGCCCGGGGGCTCGGCGGCAGCAGCGGCGCGCGCAGGTCGGCCGCCAGGACGCCCAGCGGGGCCTCGGCCAGGCGCCGCAGGTCGTGGCGGTGGTAGTTCAGGGTCTGCATCAGGCCCGGGTAGGTGGGCGGGAGGTCGAGGTGGGGGCGTACGTCGATCGCTCGGGTGAGCTTGACCTCCAGCGCGTCGGTCGACGCGGCTTCCGACAGCAGGCGGGGGAGTCTGGCCCGGGCGACGGACTTCCACACGAACGCGGAGAGGGCGTCATCTGTGGACACGAAACGCACGGGAGAGCCGGCAGGTATTGTCCCCGAGGCCATGGTCTTGATCTCGGCCAGCGATTCCGCGGTGAAGTCGAAGTACACCCAGCTGCAGACCGGGGCCGGACCAGGGCCAGGGGCAGCAGGAGGGGGAGGAGGCGCACCCCCTAGGCCAAGTACTTGATCCGCCAGTTCGGGGCCTGGCTTGTACGACTCGTCGAGCAGGGGCACCAGGTTGTCTCGGCGCATGTTTCCTATCTTCAGCTCGTCGGCCGTAAAGTTATCACCCCGGCAGGCCTTGGATATGAGCACCATCATCTCGGCCTGGCCCACAGCGTCTACCGTGTTGTGCGCGGCGGTGAATGTAAGGAGCAAGCCACCCCTGATGAAATCCGCCTGGACGGAAAGCACCTCTCTCGGGCCGTCGATGTTGCCTGGGAGGGTCATGCGGTAGGCGAGCAGCTTTTCGTCCAGCATTTTCATTGGGAAGCCCGCATCAGCGAAATCCTTCATGCTCGATACCTCATCGTCACGTCTGAGATCCTTGACGACCAAAAGGGGCGCCGGTGCCAGTTTCTTGATCTTGAAGACGCCTGTGCTTCCTTCGCCGGCTCCCTCGTTGACGACCTGACCTGCTATCCAGGGGAAGCTGGCGGCTGCCCGCCCGAGGCCGTCGCTCAACGCTTGGACGATTTGCTCGTGGCGTGATTCGTCAGGCACTGCAAACACCAGGGTGAACTGAGTATAGATCTGGAGGAGGGGCTGCTGGCCGAGGATATCGAGTGCCACGTCTAGGTCGTCGTGTGCTGCGTCCATGTTGGCGAGGGAATTCGGGAGTGTCCTGAGTGGAGGCTCTGATCGAATAGAGTCAATTGGAATGAATTGAATTCCCAGTCTGAAAGCTCAGGCTTTAAAGAGCTGGCGCGGCCGCCTTCTGATAGAGAAGCCATCTCGCGCAGATGCACGATGATTCAAAATGAGCAGCAAACCAAAATCGCCAAAAGGGGCTAGACACAAATGGATCTACTTCTTGGCTAGTAGATAGATGCCAGTCTCGAAAAGCGCCCACAGGCCTTTTTCCTAACTCCGACAGAATAACGATGGCAGCCGAGGGTGCCAGATGACGCAACAAATGCACCCCCTCGTTTGTGTGCGGCGCAACGCTGTGTAAGGCTGTGCCATCCCGTCTTAGCATCTCGTGTTATCGCCTCCACGCGCCATCTCCCATGTGCCCCTGCTGCCCTGGCGGTGACTGGCGGCAGAAGCAGCAGCCCAGCCCAACTTGGCAGGCCCGCCAGAGGCACCGGCACAACTGGCACTTGCCGGTTCCGTCACAGGGGGTTGGAGCTTGGACCCGCCCAGCACAGACCACAGCCTGGCGTTCGCAGCTCTCCAGCCCCTTCAATTGGCGCAGGCCTGAGGGGTGCATTTTTTTCTCTTCCAACCCCGTCGCCCAAAGTAACTGCTCGGTCCAACTCAGGCTGCCCACGCTGTCCCACCTGTACGATTCGCTGCGTCTTCAACACTAGACTGTGCGCCTCCAGGACACGACTCTAGCTTCTGTGGACACGGGAAAAGAAAATCAGAGCCATTTCCTCAATCCATCCCCACCCCCATCCCCCCCCCCACATTGTCCGACAACCGCCACATCTCTCCCGCATCGCCTCGCGCCAAAGCAGACGCATCACGCCTGCCCGCCTTGTTGCTGAGACAGCCGACGAGCGCTCGGAGCTGCTATCGCCGATCCGCCGACCGCAATCCTAACGCGTCTGATTGACAGGCGGTCAGCCTCGGCCAGCACCACGTCCCACGTCCACGTCTCACCACCGCGTCTTCACCGCGCCTGTCTGTTTTCTCCGCATCCAGTCCGCCCGCCATGTCTACCCCGGGCTCGGACCCGGGCCAGCACCTGGCCGTCGTCGGCGTGCCCTCCAGGCCTGTCACCCCCGGCGATATCGACAGCGCCATGGCCGTCTCGCAGGTCACCCTGCCCTCTACTGAGCCGCCGGCGTCACCCATGGACCTGTCAGCCTCCTTCAAGACTGAGCTCAACGACGACCGACTCGAGCCGCCATCCATTATTCCCTCGTCGCTGACGCCACCTCCTTCATCCCAACTCCTGCTCGGGCCCAGCGGCCCCAATCCTCCGCATCTGCTGGGCGAGTTTGGACCCCCGCAGGAGTCGAGCATTCTCTCGCCGCCCATCACGGGTCTGGTCGGCTCGAGGAGGGACTACACTTTTGGGGGCGCCGAGTACGTCGCCCCGACGCCGTCGCAGGTGATACAAGCGCCAGCAGATGAGCTTCGATCCATGATGCAGGCCTCCATAGCAGAGCACGCGCGGTTGAAGATGGAAGCTGCCCACTTCAAGCTCCAGCACCAGCTTCTTTGCATACAGTACGACGAGGACGCCAAGCGGGCCGAAGTCGAGCACGAAATGGTGAGGCGGGAGATCGACGCGCTGAGAACAGCCGAGCACTCCCGTCAGGCGAGGCGCGAACTCAGCTCGGCCACAGAGTCTCTCCAGGCCAAGTACTCGCAGCTTAGGCTGTGGTACGATGAGGCCATTCAGGAGAACGAAGCTCTTCATAAACGACTCAAGGGTGCGAAAAAATTGATACAGCACAAGGAGGAGGAAATCAACGCCCTCGCAGACGAGAAGGAGCTGCTGCTCAACCGACTCAGGGAAAACAGAGAACACTTTCATCTGCTATGCAGTCCCGGCGGGCTTTTCCATGGTGCCGTGACGCCCAAGGCCCAGGCTGCTGCCACGACACCGGTCCAGCCTCCCAGGCAGGCCTCACGCCAGACCCCCAGGTCGGCCCAGCAGCAGAACCACCATCGCGACGGCTCCCGTGCAGAGCGGGAGCATAACGAGGCACCTTTTGCGGCGCTCCTCCAAGTCCTGAATCAGGAGAATAACAGCGCACCCTCGACTCCAATCACAGCACACAGGCCAGCACCTCGGATAACTTCTAAACACACGCGCAATGTGCAGTCCATGTCGTCGTTGCCCACTACCCCAGCAGCCCGGCCGGGCCGTGAGTATGGAGGCTTGCTACCGTCGGCAGACCTGGTACCTCAGACTGAGCCACCCCGGTACCAGAGCCGCGTCCTAATCCCAGAAACGCCTCTTAGGAGCGCAGGTCGCAGGAGCCGCGAGAGCACCATCTCGGCTGAAGACCACGAGGAGCCTGTGGACAACCAGGAGCTTGCACGGCAAGCCTTGTCGTTCGCAGTGGCCGCCGCGACATCTCACGCCTCCCACCAGTCCAGCGGCTCTCGTCGTGCGGAGCCGCACCCAGGCGATCAGGACGAGGAAGAAGAGGTGTTTGAAAGCCAAGCCAGCCAGGCCGCGTCGGAGATGCTCCGGCGCGACCCCCGCGAGAGCTTTGACGTTGCCAGCTCCGCGGGCGGGTCGCGAGATCCGACGCCCGCCCCAGCCGAGAAGAGTGCGCGGCTGCAGGCGCGGCTGTTTGCCGGCACCGCTGAAAAGAGGAAGTTCAGCGGTGGCCACGATACTAGCGCCTCGGAGATGCCCAGGTCCGACGTGGTGAGCCCTACTAAGAAGTTGAGGATGGCGGGCGGCCTGAGGGAGGTCGGCCTGGGCATCCAGTACGATCACAACGCCTGATTACTCCGATGCTGCTGTTCGATGCACTGTAACCATAACGCCAGATATAATACTTGCATACCAGGGCGATGTCTTTTTTTTTTTTTTTTTGGATTTTTTTGGATTTTTATGCCAGTGGCTTGGTAGGTAGCTACTCGCGGCGGAACAACTCGGCAAGAATGACGATCATGACAGTTTATGAAGCAGGGGCTCAAGCCTCAATCCAATACGATTTATTAGTTAGGTTTACATAGCGCTCATCTGTAGCCAGGCGGTGAAATTGCCTGCGCCGGCTAGTAACGATGCAATGGACACACCCTCACATGGTTAAAACACGGCGTGGCCTCGCTTGCTTTGTGCTGAAGTCTAGTTAAATACACTCTACACAAGATACGAGCACAGGCTAGGAAACCCCCGGGTGCCCAGACGGGCCGCTAATCCCTGACAAACAAACCGGCCATGCCCATGCCGGTGCCGATGCACATGCTCACGACGCCAACCTCGCCGCGCCTCAGGCCGTGCATCAGCGTGGCCGTCATCCTAGCGCCCGTGGCGCCCAGCGGGTGCCCGAGGGCGATGGCGCCGCCGTCGGGGTTGACGGCGCCGTCCCGCCAGGCCTTCTCGAGCCCGAGCGCGCGCACGCAGTGGATGGCCTGGCTGGCGAAGGCCTCGTTGATCTCCCACCTCTGCACGTCCGCGGCCTCGATGCCGAGCTGGCTCAGCAGCTTGGGCACGGCCACGGCCGGTCCCACGCCCATCTCGTCGGGGGCGCAGCCGGCCACGGACGCGGCCACGAAGCGGCCCATGACGGAGCCCGCGAGCCCCAGCCGCTCGGCGGCGTCGCGGCGCATCATGAGCGTGGCGGCCGCGCCGTCCGACACCTGCGACGAGTTGCCGGCCGTGCTGGCGCCGTCGGGCTTGAAGGCCGGCTTCAGCGTCGCCAGCTTTTCGGCCGTGACGCCGCGCCGCACGCCGTCGTCGCGCGTCACCGTCACCTCCTGGACCTCGCCGACGGCGTTCCCTTGCTTGTCGACCTCTTGAAAGCGGGTCTTGACGGGCACGATCTCGGCGTCAAAGTGGCCGGCGTCCTGGGCGCGGGCGGCGCGCGCGTGCGACTCGGCCGCGAAGGCGTCCTGGTCGGCGCGCGAGACGCCGTAGCGGGCCGCGACGAGCTCGCTGGTCAGGCCCATGGGCATGACGCAGTCGCGCGCGTCCTTGACCGTCGTGTCCTCCCCGCGCAGCGCCGGCCACATGTCGGCAGGTATGGCGCGGGAGCCGTAGTTGCGCGTCATGCTCTCCATGCCCGCCGCGATGCCGACCGCGATAAAATCGGACCGGATCGCGGCCGCCGTGGCGGCCACGGCCTGCAGCGACGAGGCGCAGGCGCGGTTGACGGTGTGCAGGCTCGTGCGGCGCGGGTCGTAGCCGACGTGGTTGAGCGCCGCGCGCGCGGCCTTGGACCCGCCCAGCTCCGAGAGCACGACGCCGACGGCGACGTCCTCGACGGCGGCCGCGGGCAGCGCCGGGTTGCGGTCCAGCGTGGCGCGCAGCACCGCCGCCAGCATCTCCTCCGGGTACGCGTCTTTTAGCTGGCCGCGCCCGGACCGGCACACGGGCGTGCGCAGCGACGAGACGATGACGACGTCGGTGGGCGCCTTGGTCAGCACGGCGCGGATGCCCCTTGGGAGGATCGACATTTTTTTTTTTTTGTTCGTGGGTGTGTGTGTGTGTGTGTGTATGTGTGTGTGCTTTTCTTTCTTGCTTCCTCGGCTTTATACCGGCGATGTTGGCGGCTGGCCCAGGCCTCTTTTGCGTGCCCTCTAAGCTCCTAAACACAACTCTAGATCTGCCAGGCGAGGGTCGTCGGTGCTTGATATTCGTACGACAGAACTACAGCACAACAAACATGTTTAGAAACCAAACAGCCCGACTGGTGATTGCCGCGTTTCGCCTCGGGTATTCCGCGTCGCCCCCTTGGCTTGGCCGTGTTTGGCCGAGTTTGTGGGGGAGCGCGGTGGGTCCCTGTCGCCGAAGCGGCACAGCCTCGAGTCGCACGGCATCCCAAGGCGGGATGACCGGATCCTGGAACCGGGGAAGGAATCCGGCCGTGGAAGAGGATGGGGGAGAAAGATGACCCGCCCAGCCACAGCACGGCCTCGTGTATGCAGCCGCAAGCCACAGAGCACCACTGCCAACCTTAATCTTGAATGTTTATGGAGCAACAAGGACCAGAGCTCCTTTAAGCCTTGAGAAACTTTGGTAAATTCCTGGCCGCCGACAAGGGCAACCGGCCAGTCCCACGGCCGGGACAGCGACCAAGGCCTGGAAAGGCCAACCCGAAATACATCCTCCAATCCCGTCCAATCGCAACGGACGCTATCTCGGTCCGCCCTGAAACCATCAAAGAAAAGTCACTCCAGGCCTTTGTCGTGAGGTGACATCGCCTTTCTCGCCCTCTGCCTCCTGCCTGCATCGCCTGCGATTCATGTGAGGTTGCAGTCTTACTCGCATCGCGACGTAAATCGCGCCGGCTGCGTTTGGGCCTAACAGGCAGGCAGGCATGGGGGAAACAATTTGGCCATCCATGCGCGCCGCGTGGTCGGAGAATAGGGAACAAGACGCTGGCCACCAACACCTGTCAACATGCGGTTCCCGTGCTTCGTTGGGCCTTGGCACCCATTTTCCCATTTTGCTCTTCGTGCCCGACACCTGTCCAACGTCCAGGTGTCAACGTCTAATACACGGGACGCCTTCCACATCCGGGAGAGTCGGCGCTGCGCCTATAAGAGGACGACAGGGCCATCCCGAATATCTTATTCAATCGTATGAACATCCTAGCGAACATCCGAGATGGCTCTCGTCCGACTCTGCAACTTGTGCGGCCTGAGTCTGGAAAGATCCCCTCCTCCAGCGTCCTCCCAGAGTCCTCCCAGCGCCCGTTCCATTCATCATGCAGGGACCGCGCAGGTTCCTCACCAATGGGGAAAGGAAGGGGGCCAAACTCCTGTCGGCGTGTGCGCGCCGGCAACGGCTTGCCCCAACTAATCCTTTCCTGCCTTATTTTTTTTTAATTTTCTTTTAGAGTTTTCCGCTGTCTCCTCCGTTTTGTGGTCCCAACCCTCCTCAAGTCATCACCCCGGCCGTCAACCCAGGGATGCCCCCCGCAGAGACGTGCACCCTCCACCCCTCCACACGCTAAGCTTTTCCCAAGCTCCCCAAGCTTTTCGCTCCCGCCCCGTCGAGGTCGACCCATTCGAGCCATCGGGCTCGTCCTCCCACCCTCCTAATCCTCCTTCCCCTCCCCCTTGCAGGAGAACGCGTCGGTTTCGGGACATGCGCCAGCACGGATGGGATGATCCTCACGAGAACTCTAAAAACCCATCCCTCTGCTGGACTGCCGGCTCCATCGCGAACCGGCCGTCAGAGTATGCGCTCCTGAGGCGAGATTTCCAAGGGACCTGAGACTCCCCCTCCAGAGGATATTCGCTGGGCAGGCATCTCCCTGCTGTCGCCTGTTGTGCCCAGACGTCTGTCGGTGTCTATCAGGTCGTGGGGAGTTGCTGATGTACATAACTGTATACACTATATAACGTCCTGTCGGTCTGCCTCGGGTGGCATGCCGACTTGTCACTTCTTCTCTTGCAACGCCGGATCGTTCTACGCCACAGTCTACTTCGTCTGTAAATCTGCCTCTTGCTGGCCTTCACTTCTTCTCGAGCGTCAGTGTCGTTCCTTTTTCAGCACCATATTAAAACCAGCAGGAAATTTTGCTTTTATCCAACTACCTACCCACCCACACCTTGTGAACCAATAGACAGCCCACTCGCTACATCCCCCAGCCCGCCATCATGAAGTCCTTCGCTCCCCTACTCGCCCTGGCGGCCGTCGTGTGCGCCCAGCAACAGCAGCTGAAGCCCAACGCTGCCGAGTGCGCGCAGGCCAACATCCTGGCACAGATGATCCAGGCCAACATCCTCGACCAGCAGGAGGAGCAAAAGGCCCTCGGGGCCGTCGAGCAGGCCCTGGCCGAGAAGGACCAGGTCGCCTTCGGGCAGGCCCGCGACCAGCTGCTCACAGTCGTCAACAACGGCATCACCATCAGGCAGGCCGCCCAGCAGATCTCGCCAAAGAACAACGCCGCCGCCCAGGGGCTCGACACGGTATGTTTCTCCTTGGCATCTGTTTGCTGTCGCTCGATGTCTCTCTCTCACGTGCCCCGTTATCGTGACAAAAAAGACTGATCTGAGAACCCTGTTGTCCATGTGTGCAGGTCAAGAATGCTCAACTCACCGAGCTCGGCCTCGCCCTCAATCTGACCGGAAACCCCAACACCGACAACGCCATCGTCGAGCAGCTGAAGAAGGACTTTGCCGACGGCATCGAGCAGAACAAGCTGAACGCGGCTGCGGTACGTACAAACGAAACCGGCCCCCCTCAAGGGGAAATCCAGGACCGCGTCTCCAATGGCCACACGTGCTGACAAAGATGATCACCACAGGCGGTCCAAGGATGCGGAGCGGCGGGTGCCAACGGCGGTGGCAACAACGACAACGGCACCGTGGCCGACGGCGCCGGCAAGGACAAGGCCAAAGGCAAGAACAACGGGAACAAGGACCAGAACAACCAGAACAACCAGAATGGCGCAAGCAACGGAGCGAAGAAGGCCGCGGCCAAGCAGGCCCAGCAGGCCCAGCAGGCCGAGGGCGGCTCGCCGGTCAACAAGGCCGACAAGAGGGCCGTACGACACGCACGCGCCTTTGGGCTGTGGTGAAGCGGGTGTGGACTCTTGTTTCCTGTTGTTTGGGCGCTTCCGGTTCTGGACCGAAGAGGCCGGTTCTCGAGGAAGGAACTGTAAGCAAAAGACAGTCAAATAAAACGTGCATAATTTGGAATCCGGGCATTTGATGTATGCCACCTACTCTTATCATTTCAAACCACTTTGATCGCAACAGCAAGGCAGGACAACAGTTCAGCCTAGGATGTCGAGGAACTATTGCCGTTGCAGGTCTATGGAGATAGGAGGCGAAAAAAAATCGCTATTTTCGAGGTAGCGCCAAGTTCGAGGTAGCGCCAAGTGCACCCCATGTTCAGCCCTTACCAAATAAGGCCTAGCCTACATTTCTTTTTCAACATCAATCGCAGCACCAATTCGAATCCGCCCGGCACGCGTTTCAATCGATTAGCTAGTACATATCCCTGGCCCCTGCCCTCGCTTCACGAGTAACCTCCCCATTGTAGATTATTTAACCCTCGCACACCTCCGTAAATGTCGCGTCGAAATTCGTGAGCGGTGGCGACCATGTGGGCAAGTGACGACTTCGTCAATCAGGTGGGCAGCCAGGGTCGACGTGACAGGAGACTACGCTCCAGTCAGACAAACAGTAGTGATCCGAGGCCGTCTCGGCGGCATCCATGGCACCGACAAACACCACAGGACAACAGCGAGCCACATGTTAACTAGATGCCTAAGGGTGGCTAGATTAAAGGAATAGTGCGTCAAGACTTTCTTCTTCGTGACACTGCTCAAGGCGGTGCGCACAATGAAAAAAGAGGGGTTGGGTATCAAAAATTACGCCAGGGTTGGCCCCGAAGGACAAACCAAAGCGGTCAGCGCCACGGTGTGCAATGCAGGCTTCCCACTCTCCGGCCGCGCCTTCATGATCGCGCGACTCGGCCAACAAGGTAAGTATGAAGAAGAAAAGAAGAAGAAAAGGTCAAAAGAGACGGGGAGGGACGCGAGCCTTTTATAGAGGGCGTCTGGGCGGGGAGTGGGGCCCAGCGCATGGCCCGTGCGAGGTGAGGACAATTTCCGCGTCCGCTTCAGGACACACCGCCTCGAGGAATTCTGCCGACTCCCCCACCAGGGCAGCGTGGGGCGGCCAAGACAGACAGACGGCCAATTTGGATGTTGCCATGTCGGATGGACGTAACGACATAAAAGTCAACCACCTAGCATCACTGACAAAACAAACTGGCGAAGGATGAATTAGCGCCAACTTATGCTGTTGTAGTGCTTCCATGGACGACCGCTCATCATAGGCCTGTTTTTTTTTCGCTTTAAGATTGCAAAGATAACCTGCTGTTGCAGCCGCATGTGACCAATTCCAAGCTCGACATTTCCAGTATTGAACAAGTCCCTTGGCTAGGACTGGCCATTTTGCTCTCGCTGTGCTGCCCCTCCACAACAACAAATATCCGCCATGTTGTCAGAGGAGATCAACGGTCTGCTGGCTCGCATGAACAGCACCAATCTTGATGGCGACGATAAACCGGATGTTGCACAGGATGTCAAAACCGAGCGGACTCGCAGTCTGGAAAAGGTGCTCGAGTCCTTGAAGCAGCTATGGGATTCCAGATCTACAGAGCTTGATGATCTGCTTCAGAAGTTGGGGACGGGTAGCCGTGACGGTAAGTTCTCAGCTAAACGATCTCTGCAAGCCAAAGCCCCTTTTCGACATCCCCGAGGCCATGTCCGATCTGGAGCCCATCTGACCTCGACCACCCTGTCTGCTCCGTGAAGCTTCCTGGCGGATCCCCATCGGAGACTCGGGGATCCTGGACTATGCCCTTGAGCTGCTCCCCCACGTCGACTTCCGCATCTCTTCCAAGATCCAAGCCCTGCGCCTGATCGGGAACTCGTGCGCCGACACTGGTATGTCCGCCCTGGGCTTCATCAAAGAGCTTCACAGACCACTATGGGTGTGTGTTTTGCTGACAACATGGGATAGAGGAGAACAGAGCACGTGTGGTGCAAGGGACCCATATCCCCATCATCGCGGGTCTCCTGGGTGTAGAGTATGGTGACAGTCTGTTGCCATACGTGATAACCTCGCTCCATAATATTTGTGTCGACTATGGTCAGCAGTGCTCTTCCCTACAAAGGTGGCTGAAGGCAAGCGCTGACCGCCGATATCATGACTTTTAGAGCCTGCCCAGACGCAAGCAGCCGAAGCTGGGCTCGCACAGTCCCTGGCAGACTTTCTAGACACTCCGAGGCTCGTAAAAGCGCCTCATCTTGCCGGCATAACCAGCAAGACCATTCATCTTGTTGCGTCGACAGGTAATTCTCCTATTGCTTGGAGAGCCCTTCGAACCTATGAATTTCACTAACAAGTGGATGGGCCATGTTCGTAGACAGGGAGAAGGACCACGCCAACGTGTCAATCCCCATCACTCTGCTAAGGCTGGCCTCCAACCCATCCTGGCCAACGCCCTCGGATCCTCTGGAAGCAGACGATTTCTGCAACCTCGTATCGGCCGCCTCAGCCTATCTCACCAATGACAGGCTCCTCGCGGCAGCAGCCGCCGCTCCCGAACATGCGGCCATTGTCCTCAACACCCTCCAGGCCGCCTGCACGCGCTTCTCGTGCGCCGAGCTCGAGGACATGGACGACGCCGACCAGCTCGGGCGGCTGCGCAAGTCGCTCGTCGGCACGGTGGCGGACCTGACGGCGCGTGACGAGTTTGTCTCGCAGCACTCGGGGACGGCGGCGGCGGCGGCGGCGGCAGCCACCCGCGAGCTCCTCGACACCTGGCTGCGGCGCCACCCGCGCTCGCACCTGCAGGAGGCCGCCTGCCTGGCGCTGGGCAACCTGGCTTGCTCTGACGACGCGGCCGGGCTGCTCGTCTGGGAGGGCCGCGCCCACGAGCCCCTGGCCGCCCTGCTCGCCGGCCCCTACCCCTACGAGCCCGCGCCCGACAACACGGTGCCCAGCGCGCTGCTGCACGCCGCCGTCGGCCTGCTCAAGAACCTGGCCATCGCCCCGGCCAACAAGCCCGTCCTGGGCGCCGCGCTGCTCCAGAACCACCCCGGGGGCGACGACGACGACGACGCCGCCGCTGCTGTCGCCGCCCTGCCCCGCCTCTGGGGCCTGGTCGACACGCAGCCGCAGACCCAGCTGGCCACCGTCTCGCTCTGCCGCCTCCTCCTGGCCGGCACGCCGGCCAACGGCGCCCTGCTGTGCGCCCCTCTGCAGCAGCAGCAGCAGCAGCAGCGAGCCGACGCCGACGCCGACGCCGACGCCGACGGCAAAACCAGCAGCACAGAGGTCAGAACAAACGTCCACGCCCTGCTCGACCTCTTCCGCCGCGCGGACCCGGAGCCCACAAAGACCGAGTGCGCCCGCGCCGCCATGGCCCTCTGCCGCCTGCTGCACCAGGCCGACGCCGACGAGATGCTCGCCTCCGCAGCATGGGAGGAGGCACCGCCGCGGCCGTCGTCCCGCCGCGCCGCCTTCTACGCCGTCCATGCCGCCGCCCTCGGCGAGCTGCTCTCCTTCCTGCTCACGCAGGCGCGCTTCCCCGCCCTGCGCAGCGAGACCTGGTTCGTCCTTGCCCTCATGAGCCGGTCGCCCGACGGCGCCGGCGTCGTGGCCGGCGTCCTGACGCGGTCTGACGCCGCCCTCGCCGCCGTGGTCGCCGCCGCCGGGGCTGGGGTCGGGGTGGAGGCCGTCGAGGCCGTTGAGGAGACGAACGGGCGTGGCGAGGGAGCGGCGGCGACGGAGCTGGGAATCGACCGTCTTGAGCTGGAGCCGAGGCAGGCGGACCCGAAGCAGGCGGCCAACATGGCCAAGGTCGACAGGGAGAATGTCCTAGTTCTCCTGACCGAGTTGCTTCGGAACAAGATCGACGGCTTGAGCGAGGACCACCGGCGCAAGCTCGAGGATGCTCTGCGGACGGGCGGAGGAATAGTCATAGGTGAGAGGGCAAAGGCAAGTGGCGCTGGAGGATCCTCGGACTAATGTTGGCCGATGCCATTCAGACCGTATTGTCAACAGAGCCCGAGCATAATTCATCCATTTTGTTGTCCATTCGTATTCATTATCGGAATACATCTAGCAAGCCCGCGATGCAGTTGTAGTTTCTGAACCATGCCCTGAGAGAGATACCGCAAAACGGCCGTAGGAAACCAACCGCACCGCCCCTTTCTTCCAGGAGCAGACGCAGCAGTGAAAGCAGAAACCAACCGAACGACCAAGAGTTTTGTTTGTGTGACCCGTGCCACTTTCTTTCTGATCCCTCCCTACCCCCGCGCCGACGTGAAAAAAAGACAAGAAACAGAGTCCAAGTAGTCGGACCAAAGAACAAAGGTGAATTTTGTGCCCTAGCGTCCCTCGCTCTATTTCTTGGCAGTCTCGGCCTCCGCCTTGTCCCTGACGCGCTTCTCCCGAGCGCCCTCGTTGCGGAAGTTGGCCCTGGCGTCCCGCAGCTGGCGGTAGGCGCTGGTCTCGGACTTCGGGATGTCCGACTTGCTGATCTCGACGAAGCCCTCGGCGGGGGGCAGGGGAATGACGGCAGACACCTTTGCGGCGGTCTTGTCGGCAACGGCGGGCTTCTTGCCCTTCTTGGGGAAGACAACCAGGCGCTCCTGGTAGGCCTTGAGGCGCTCGACGTTGCGGGCCAGCGACTCCTCAGAGAAGTTGGTGCGGCGGGGGTCGACCGCGATACCGATGGTCCGGGCCTGGCGCTTGTGCAGACCAGCAGCCTGAAGACGCAGCAAAATGTCAGACACCGTTTGATTCCTGGCCTTGGTGGCAAAAAAGGACACCGTCTGATTGTCATGCCGGTCCGCGGGGAAGCCATACCTTGAGCTCGGTCAGGGTGAAGCCACGGCCCAGGCGGGCGCGGCGGTTGTACTTAATCGTCGGGCATTGGACAACGGGCCTCAGCTGGTCGACGGGGCGGGGAGCGACCTTGGTGGCCTTGGCGCGGCGTGCGATGCGGCGCGAAACCTTCTTTCCGGGCTATTTGAAGGGAAAGAGAGTCGCATGTCAGCCTTGGCTCGAGCAGTGCGTAGGCGCTGTCACGGGAGCGTGGAGAGTCTATTCCGGCCTTGTCCTCGGCCAATTCCTCCATCCCAGGTCGGGGCAAGGGGGTGGCCTTCGTAGGAATATCATCAGGCGGCGTACCTGGTCGAAGTGGCACCGCACACGGCGCTGCCAATCCTTCCGGAAGTCTGTATGAGGCCGTCAGTCTCAGGCCATTCCGTGTTCCTAAAGTGCTGCCGTCGTCGCCGGAGCCGATCACCTCGAGGGCCGAGCGGATATTGGAGGGGAGTACTAACGGTTGTGGGGGAGCTGGTTGTTGTGCTTGATCGCCTAGATTCGGGAAAACCCATCGAAACGGTCAGTATCCTCTTCCAGCGAGGACTCGGGCGTCTCTTGATGCAGTCGACGTACCATTGTGAAGGAGTTGCGACCGTAAGCTGTGGATGGGTTAGTATGGGCTGGTTCGTCGTCGTCAAGCTGCGGTCGTGGAAATTGAAGGCCTGAAAAGATGCTTGCTGTGGGCTTGAAAACCCTACAGGAAGTGGGGACACGCTGATTGGTTGGGAGGACTGACGGAAGGGAGAATTTGACGTGTCGCCTCAGGCATCCAGCGAATTCGGATTTGTGGGAGAGCAAATGAAACAGGAGCAAGGTTGCCGTCACGTGAGCGGAGCCAGGGTGGATGGGCTGCTGGAGGTCCCCACCAAACAAATGGAGGGGCAGTTTGGATGGGGCAAGTGGCGCTTCCGCTTCTCCCTCCTCCAATAAAGCAGGAATTGGAGATCGCGGACGGGCACGTACGTCAAGAACAGCATCGGAGCGGCGTTTTTTTTCTATTATAAGATTGCCCTTTTTGTCAATGAGAAGGACATCCGTCCAACCTCTTTTTCCACTTCAATCTCTGCAACAGCATTACGATAAAGACACATTGAGCTTTGTGAACCGGCGACAAGTTGACGTTGTTAGACGCGAACTGACCCGAGATATTACATACAACGATAAAGGCATTCTCGGGAATTGGCGCCTATCATATCACGCAGAGCAGCGAGCTTCTCCGAACTTTGAGCCCCCGCGTGGAAACTCCCACCTTCAATTGAAAATAGCCCGTGCACCCACCCGTCAAGCTGGAGCTGGACGCTGAAGCTCCGCAAAAAAAATCTCCTGATGCCACCAGTCAAGCAGAGAGCTTTTTTTTTCGTTTGCTCCACTGCGGCGACGACATTCCCAGCAAACCAGATAGGCTCCTCGACTCAACTAGATTGCGTTATTACCATCCAAGTGTCTACCCAATTGTTCCCAGTCCTGATCGAGTGATACCTGACCGACCCTTTCATCGCCTGCCTTTTCCTTCTCCCGAGGCCCCATCAAGGCGCCCGCCCACCCACCAGCACAATGGCCTCCTCCGGCATCCGGACGCCCAGGAGCGTCTCGGACGCAACCCGCTTCACACCGACGACGCCGCACGCCGCCTCCAAGGGCGGCCCGTCCTCGTCCTCGTCCTCCAAGAAGCCCTCGGCAGCCACACACCCAAGGTCGCGCCCCTCACCAGCAGAGTCGTTCGTCCCGGGAGAGCGCGGGAGGAGACCTCCCCCACTCGCGGCGGCCCCCGCAGAGGCGCCCGAGCAGCGCGTGGCCAGGCTGCGCGCAGCCCACCTGGCGGCCAAGAACGCGCAGGTCTCGAGCATGGACCGGCTCGTCAACCGGGCCCGCGGCTTCTTTGACCACGCGCACCGCTTCACCACCATGGGTCTGATAGGGCTATCAGGTAAGGGGTCCGCGTCCCGAAAGGGAAACGTATAAGGTGGGGAGGTCGGAGATGGAAGAAGAAAGGTCCTGACGCTGCGTATCTGCGATAAAACAGCCGTCGCGACCCTCGTGACGGCCTACGCCGCCGTCGACATGATGACGTACAACCGCAAGCGCAAGCACGAGTTCCTCGAGGCCCAGGCCCGCATGCGCGCCGACTCGCTCGAGGCCGCCCGCCTGGCATACATGCGCGGCGACGCGACCGACGAACAGGTCGCCCTCGTCGAGGAGGCCAACTCGCGCGGCGCCGACGTCTCCATCTTCTCCAAGCTTCCCCCGGTCATCAGCCCACCCGCCGCCGTCAAACCCCCAACCGCCACCGCCGCCGATGGGGAGGCGTCATCGGCAACGGCGGTGGCAGCGGCAGCGGGGAAGGAGGAGGGGCAAAAGAAGAGCAGTAGCAGTTGGGGCTCCTCAGTCTGGGGCTTCCTGGGCGGGAACCTGAAGGATGAGGACGTTGCCGCCGCCGCCGCCGCCGCCGCCCCGCGCGCCATCGCGGCCTCGATCGAGGACAAGGCGCGCGCCGCGTTCGACAAGGAGAGGGAAAACCAGCGGAACGGCGGCCCGTTGGACCAGGTCGGGAGCAGCGCGGCCAAGGGAGACGGCGGCGGCGGCGACGCCGAGAAGCCGAAGAGGGGATGGTGGTGAATAGGGTGCGGTGAGGGTTTCAACCCAACGAAAAGAAAAACAAAGAAATGGTCTAGCACCCTCGGAATTTTCTTGGCGCTCTCGCGGGCTGTCATTTACGTCTGCGCACGAGTTGAGAGCTCCGCCGCAACAAGTCTGGGGTGGAAGCCTGGCCTTGGGAAGGACGTGTACCATATCTGTAGAAATGGGGGTGGATATATGCATTCTTCGGCGTCGGCTGGCTGGCTTTTGTTTTGCAATAGGCACACAGATCACAGATGGACCACGCTGCTGCCAATCTTCCGGTTGGAACCACCGGCGGAAATAAGGACGTGCGCTTCCAATAAAGCTAAACCTACCTTGTAGGTTTAGTCCTTACATTCTTTCCTACCCTCCTCGCCATCCATATGTCCGGCGGCAGTCAAAGTGATTGGACTCGTGGAAAATCCGTTTATTTCGCTGTTCCCCGTATCTGGAGGGTACAATGGCGATGGGGGGTAATAGGTAGGTGCTGGCTACTAACAGCGAGGAATAACAACCGTGCCCCTAACTCCCAAATCTCGGCCCAAGACAAAAGAAAGGTACGTGGATGTACGAGAATGTACGTGGGAAGTATAGCCATAGCGTAGGCTTGGTGATACCAGTAAATGCCGCTGGTATAATGCAACATCCCGCCCGAGGTATACAGACAGTGGAAACAAAGGATACAAAGAGACTCTACGAGACAATGATATGGTTAAAGTGGCCGGGGACCTTGAGCCGGCACTTTTCGCAGTCTGCACGGTACCCTATGCTGAACGACTTCTTCATGCCCAGGTTCTGGGTCCAGTTGTTGACTGTGTGCCGCGAGCGCGTGTGTCCCTTCTTGGGCGAGGGCGAGGTGCTTTCGGCGGCGGGGCTACCCTGGCGCTGCTGTTGCGGCGAGTGCTGTGCGTACTGATGCAGATTAGGATGCTCCTGCGGGGGCGATGATGGCAGCGCGGCGTCCATCGCGGGGGGGCTGCTGCCCCGCAGGTACATGGGAAGCTCCATGGCTGAGACAGCACGCTGCGGCGGGAATGGGTGCATGCCGGACGAAGGCGCGCAATCGAGCACCATGTCGGGGCTGCCGATCTCCTCGCCGCCGCTCTCACTAATAGGCGACGGCAGGGGTCGGTTCTGCACCATATTCCAGTCGGCCATCATGGCAGACGGGTGCTCCAGAGAGCGCGGTACGGTACGGTCGTGGATTGGCGACGTTACCATGCCCATGCCCGTGCCGCCGGGGGAGGATGTGAAGCCGCCGTCGGCATAGTTCACATACTTAGGGTGGTGGTCAGCTGTGTTGCCGCTCTGCATCACGTTGCCGGCAGCCCCGCCCCAGTTGTTGCCTCGGACTTGGGCGGCGAAGCTGGGCAGGATTGGCGTCGGCATGCGGCCCGTAATGCTGGCGCCGATCGAGTCAGGGTGGAAGGAGCCCGGCTCCAAGTTGCCGGCCGCGATTGAAGAGCCCGAGTCATCTTCGACCGAGTCCATCATCATATCCATGTCGGCGTCTTGGTTGTGTGGCCTGGGCTGGTGTTGCTCGTGGTGCTGCGGAACGAAGCGGCCATACTGGGCGGCCGCCTCGTCAGGATCCGAGTCGGACGGCGTGATGGCATTCGGCATGCGCTGGGAGAAGGATTCGGGCACGGTCGATGGCGGCGCCCAAGTGCTGAGAGAAGGTCCTCCCCTAAGAGGAAGAGTGTGTAGCCGTTTCTGCTTGGCGTCCTGGTCAGCAAGCGGTGCATTGATTCCGCGGCGCACACTTCGCGGCAGCTAAGGGGATTGGTTGGCGACTGGCTTACACTGCGATGCTCCGTGAAGCCTAGCATGCCGCCGTTCCCAAGATCGCACACGGCCTCGTCCTCGCGACCCCGCTTCAGCGAGCTGGCAACATGCGCTGGCTCATGGTGGGCAAACATCTTGGACGATGGCGCGGGTTGGCTGCGGATTCGGGTATGATACTAGACTGCGACGGCGCAGCCCAAGTCAGGATGCAGGGTGGATGATAGAATAAGGAGATGAACAAAATGAAGCAAGTCCTGGATGGGGATCCGGCAAAGGGGGTTGGTTTTGGGGTCGCGTGGCGTAGCAGTCAGCCCTGGCCGACAGGCAACCGTGCAGCTGAAGGCAGGTGCGCTAAAGACGGGTGACGATCGAAAGGTGGGAAGGTGCCCAGCAAGGAACCAAGCGCAGAACAAAGGGACCGCAAATACGACAGGCAGGAAAGACCCGACTAGAGAAACGGACAAGGCAAAGAGTACAAAAAAGCGCAGGGGAAAGGCAAACAAGAATTATGTGCGCGCAGATCCGGATCTATCACAAAAGGAGATGCCCAACGGAGTGCCCCGGCGTCGGCGATGCGGCTAGACCACAAGCTAGACAAGCGACAGAACACTAGGATTAGATAGAGCTGAGGGGAAAGAAAGAAAAAAAAAGGAATACGCAAGAAAAAATCCGACAGAGTTCGATAGCGAAGGGCGAAAGAGTCGAAGCGACAGAATTAGTGCCGAAAAAGAAAGCAGAAGAACAGTAGAGGGAAAAAATAATGGAAATTCGAAGGCCGCAAGAGGCAGATACACAGCGCAGCGAGCAGCCCAGATATATTAGAACAATTATGCAAAGAGACACGTCGTCGACAGGCGCGGCTTTGGGGTTCGTCCGTTCAAACACACTAGAGAAGGGGAGAAAAAGAAGAGAAAATGAGATCGATTATGTGCGTCCGAGTTTCCCTGGCGCCGAGGGGTGGGGGATTCGGCGTTGTTTTGTGGAATCGCAATGTTTCCAGCTGGGGCTTCGTCGTGGGGATGAACACGCGAGGCGAGACCCAGTCAGTCGAACCCTGGCGGGCACTCGTGCGGGCCGTGGCAGGCGGGCAGGACAGTGCGCCCAGGGCGATCGGCTACACTCGCCCAACTCTTTTTGACGGATCGCAGCCTCGCACACAAGACAACAGTGATGAGGTGCGCCAGGGGGGTCCCGGGCGATGATGCACCCCCAGAAAACCCCAGGGAAAAACAAAGACAGTGCAGTGCAGATGCCCCGTCCGACCCAGAAGGCTGCACCCAGCAGGTTGGGCGGGCGGTTTCACAATTGCTTCAAGACGACCAGGAAGCGGCCGACTGGACGCCAGGGGGGCGGGGGGCCAAGACCGCTGTTGGGCCCGAAAGGGGGCTGCGAGTTTGTGCTTGTGCTGATGTTGGCGGGCGTTGTAGGGGGCGTTTTGGGCGGTTGACCAGGTCACGGCCGACTCGGGTCAACTGCTGTGGGTACTGAAATCTGGGGACCAGGGACGGCCGATGAAGCTCAACTCAAATGTTCGCAACTCGACCGATGGGTTGGTTTTTTTTTGTTCGGCGCCGATGAAAGAACAGGACACGAGGGTGGCTTTGACCTTGGCTGCAGCTGACCCGCTGATATAACCGGGCTGGGTGGTTGGCGCGCTGCATGGTCGGAAGGGGCTCGATTCTTGGGCGATCCCTCCCGAATGGTTGACAGGAATCGACACAGGCTGCTGGAGGCTGGCACGCTGGCACGCTGGGGCGGGGAAGAGTGACGGAACTGCGGAGCTGAAATGCAACCCACGCCGCCCTCGACGCCATCCAACCCCTGCCAGCACAGGGCACGGGCTGTGAAGGGTCGATGGCAGCCGCCATGCATTGCACGGGCCAGTCCAGCAACACTGACGACGAATGGTGGCCTCTTGCGACCTGCCTCAGCTGGAGGCAGTTGAGGAGCAAGGAGTCTCTATTTTCGGCCAACAGGGTTCGCTGGCCTCTGACTCGATTTGTCTTCTTCAGCCCTTCAAGAAGATTCCCAAGAACACAGGCGAGCAAAGGAACCTGATGAAAACCCCGCCATTGTTGCAATGCACCAACGCCCTATTACAAAGAAGATAATGACTACCGCCTGGGCGTCATGCGAGCGGGCGATCTTCCCCCTCTCGGATTGTCCATCGGCATGCCAGCGTTCAAAGCTGGATTGATCTTCGCGCAGCCAAGCATCTTGATTTTATGCTCGATTGACAGACAGCGTCAGCGGGCGGCGCACGCACTGATGAGGGTATGTAGGTATCTGGGTAGCCACTCACCCGGCGCATCGTCTGGGTTCTCAAGGTGATAAATAACACAGTCGGGCGAGCACCACGGCCAGCCGGTCTACAGTGCCGCGGGTTCTTCGGCGTAGTTGCTCGCCACGGTATTTTACGAGCTCGTATGCAGCCTTTCGACCAAAGATGGGGTATCCACTTCAGTTTCCATGTCTACCTCACCTACCTTAGTATCTAGTACATGTCCAGCTCAGAGCTCTTTAGGAGCTCAGCTTGGCCGAGGTGCGAGCTTAAAATCGGCATTGTCGGTATCTCAACCACGGCCCAATGGCACTGTTGTTCCTCGAACAAGGGAGGAGGGCCGCCCGGCTGTTCGACCTTTTGTTTGGCTAGAAAAATCTGGGAAGTGGCAATAGCGCTATGGCTCTCTGACAAGCCCACCCACTACCTACCCAGGCCGTCGATCAGGGACACTGAGAGGGGTTGAAGACAGCGAGGGGGCGGTTCTGTGGACGTGAGGCAGTTCAAGTGTCACGAAAGTTCAGATAAACTGGCGCCGTCTGGTGCCTCTTATTCCTTCCTGCATATGGTAGCATTGCTGAGGTATTCAGTTATGCAAGAGAGACACATGCAGCCATCGCGCACTGGCCATGTGCAAAGTCCAGTCCGCAGCTGGAGCTTGGCTCGCCCGACATCGTCTCCTGTCCATCGTCGAATCCGTGAACCACCCTTGCATTCTTACAATCTTATCAATAAAGGCGGTGAAGCCAGTGGCACACCCGTCAGCCAATCAGACAAGATCAATTGCGATGATGGGGGAGGAAAACTTTTTGCTGCCGCTTTTTCATCCCACCTTGGAGCTTTGGAGGGGCACCTAAAAGCTTACCTGGTAGGGGTTGAGGGCGGATCGGGACGACGTCGACGTCGGGGTCGTGGTAATGAGCCCACCACCGCAGGGCAGAGGGCCTAACATGTGCCACATGTGGCGGTCTATTGGGCACCGAGAGCTCGCTGACCTCCCTCCGTCGCCTTTTGCTGACCATGCAGGACGCCTATTACAGCTCACGCGGCATCCCGCGGGTCGATCTGCTGCAGGGTTTCTGGGAGGGGAAGCACAAAAGCTGCTCCTATGCGGGCAATGCGTTGGTATTTTTTATTGCTGGGCGCTGCCATTTCTGAGTCACCATGTGAGAGCCGAGTGTGCTCACCATAAATTTATCACTGTGGGGATCATTGCGTCTCTGCCGTTGGCTTGTCGCCCGTTCCAGACACGCAAGAACATTCACTTGCTATAACTACCTTTCCTTCCTCTGGCCAATTCAGCATCTTGAATCTGGCTGACGTGAGCTCCTACGTATACCAATCTCTTTTCTCTCTGTTCTCAATCCCATCTCCCTCACCAACTACTACAACCTCGATAGCCCGTTGCCGGCCATCTACTGGACAGTGGCCCTAGCTCGCGGCTACCAGCGCAAGCTTCTGATCCATTGCAGCCGCTCTACCGTACTGTCAACTGCCACCATGTCGGCGTTCGTCACGGACGACACGAGGGGTAAGCAAGGCCAAGCCCGCCAGATGACGGCTCTGCTACATATGACTAACCGGCCGAGTCCGTACCAACAGTCCTGGGCCAGGACCCTCTCATCCCGCCCGCCCTCCTGATATCCGAGATCCCCATAACGAATGCGGCCACCGAGACCGTCATCCGGGGCCGCAAGGAGGCCACGGCCGTCATCACGGGCAAGAGTGACCGCCTGCTGGTCATCGTCGGCCCCTGCTCCATCCACGACCCCGCGACCGCCCTCGAGTACGCCCAGCGCCTCAAGGCGCTCTCGGTGAAGCTTGAGGACGACCTCTGCATTGTCATGCGCGCCTACCTCGAGAAGCCCAGGACCACGGTCGGTTGGAAGGGCCTGATCAACGACCCGGATATCAACCAGACCTTTAAGATCAACAAGGGCCTTCGCGTTTCGCGCCAGATGTTCCGCGACCTAAACGAGGCGGGGCTCCCCATCGCCAGCGAAATGCTCGACACCATTTCACCGCAGTTCCTCGCCGATTTTATCGCAGTCGGCGCCATCGGTGCCCGCACCACAGAGAGCCAGCTGCACAGGGAGCTGGCTTCTGGCCTGTCGTTCCCGGTTGGCTTCAAGAACGGGACGGACGGTAGCCTCGGGGTCGCGATCGATGCCGTCGGCGCCGCAGCTGCTAAGCACTCCTTTATGGGCGTTACCAAGCAGGGGCTGGCTGCGATCACGCGGACGAGCGGTAACGAGCACGGCTTCGTTATCCTTCGCGGCGGATCGAGTGGCCCCAACTACAGCAAGAAGGACGTTCAGGCTGCCAAGGATACTCTGACCAAGAAGGGCCAGAGGCAATCCATCATGATCGACTGCTCGCATGGTAAGCAAGCCCCCGCTCGTCTTTTTGGTGCATCCTCCCGCTGTTTTGGGTGAGCTCAGATAACTAAAAGGTCGTGTTGATCAATATAGGCAATTCGAACAAGGACCACCGCAACCAGCCCAAGGTGGCCAAGGCCATCGGCGAGCAGCTGAGAGAGGGTGAGAGGGCCATCATCGGCGTGATGATCGAGTCCAACATCAACGAGGGCAACCAAAAGGTTCCGCCCGAGGGGCCTTCAGGTCTCAAGAAGGGTGTTAGCATCACCGATGCCTGCATCGACTGGGAGTCGACAGTCACGGTTCTGGAGAATCTTGCCGACGCCGTTCGTGAGCGCCGGAGGATCAACCTGGCCAACGGAAATGCCCAAGCCGTCAGCGTGCCCGCCACCCCCTTGGAGGAGGATTGAGTGCGGAATAGCATAGTGAAGGAGGCAGCGACGCAAAATACAAAAGAACCGGGACAGAGTTGAGCGATATAAGAAGTCAACATGAGGCACGATGGAGAGGAGGATTTTAATACATGGAACCCATGGCGTTGATAGTCAGAAGCTAAGGAGGAAACAAGGAAATAAAAAGAAGTAGACGGTGGGTGAAGCTTCATAGAGCAGAAAATGGCAGGACAAAGTGGCAAGGTGTCCCGGAATCAACTTGTAGGGCTTAGATTGGGATTCTCACCCTTTTTTCAAGGGGATATACGTTTACCCCGGACATGGATACACTCCCTCGTGATGTCTGGGGATATCCATATTCCGCACGTCTGCATGCACAGGTGTACACCGATGCCCGGGTATCATCGGCCGCGTGTGGGTGATGGTGTCCGAGACCCATCTTTGCGGCTTGGTTCCGTCCGGTAAAGGCTGGTGACATCTATTTTTTATTGTCTGGAGACAAGCGTCTAGTGCAGCTCACCTAGAGTCTGCGAGTCGGCACCCACTGAGTGAGTTGATGTGCATGGCGGTCTTGGCAATCGTGTTTATGGTTGGGTGCTGCCACGAGCACCGAGCAGATTTTCGGGATAGCGGGCCTGACATTGTGGCACGTAGGATGGTTGAGAATGAAGTAGAATCGAGATGTGTGCAATATCCAACGGTACGGTGCTAAAAGACCAAATATGCAAGTTTTGTTTCTTATCATGTAATCTAGCCTCATCATCTCCCGGAACGGAGCCCAGACGCCGATCCTTCCCCCCGGTCATCCCCGACCACAAACATGTAGTCCCCGCCCGCGTCGGCGCCTCCCCTCCGCGTGGGGCTCCTCCTGGGGTTGCCGCCGCCACCACCGCCGCCGCCTCCTTCCGCCACATTATCACCAGCGCCGCGGCCCAGCCCGGCGGCGGCGGCTCTCTTGCGCATCTCGCGCTGTTCTAGGGCGCGGCGGGCGGCGGCCCAGCCGAGCAGGCCGGCGGTGCCGAGGAGGAAGGTCCAGACGATGAGGCGGTCCTTGCGCGAGTCGCGGGCGAAGCACATGGTCACCACGTCCTTCTCCTCGGCGCCCTTGCAGATGGGCAGGTTGTACTTGAGGCAGAAGGCGCGGTTGCACTGCGAGCAGCTCGACGACGCCGCGCGCTTGTCCTCCATGTGCGCCTGCGGGGCCGCTGCCGCCGCCGCCGCCTCCGCGCGCTTGTCCTTGCCGTCCGGGTGCGGGGTTGTTGTTGCCGTTACTGACGTCGTCGTCGGGCTCGGCGCGGGCGGCGCGGCGGGGGGCTCGTGGCCCGGCCCCAGCGGGATGATGGTGCTGTTCTTGAAGCAGGTGCACTTGCAGAACGTCGGCGGTGCTGTTGTTGGCGGCGGCGGTGGCGCGGTCAGCTTGGGGACGGGCTGTGGTTGAGATCGAGGGGGGTAGTTTGGGGCTTACAAGCTGCGATGGCCAACGACGCGAGCGCTGCAAGGAGGACGAATAGTATCGGTAACCTGGCCATCTTTAATGTGGCCGCCTCCGTCTGCGGGAAAAGAATATCGAGAGGCCAGATAGACAATTGTTTTTTTTTTGGAAGATTTTTGTCCGAGGATAAGGTAACGTGCGCAAGTTCAAGGCCCTTTGGAGACATGCCCGAGCTCATCGTCGTCGAGCTCCCTGTGGCGACGGTTTGAGCTACAGGCCGTGCAACAGCTGAATGCAGTCGCACGAGTTTCTGCCTCAGGCCCCAATTCTATTGGCTGCTGGAGCTCCACCAAAATTTCTGAAGCTTCTCACCACGGCCAAGAGCCCGCGAGCGACCGGCGAGGCGTGCAGGCGACCGTGGCTCGACTTTCGACGAGTCGCACATACCAATTGGAATTACAGACACAAAAGATGCGGCGGTTAGCAATATTACGGCAGGCCTCCGGGCTGCTGCGCCCCCACCAGCCGGCCCCGTGCGCATCCCGGTGGTGCCCTTCTGCCGCCAACGTCACCGGCAACCCCAGCTTCTTCTCGACGACCCGCCCGAGGCCGGCAGGACACGATACCGCCGCCGACGCAGCAGCCCAGGGCGCTGCCGCTACCACCACCACCACTGCCACCGACACGGCTGTCGCAGCGTACGAGCCGCCCGCGACCAGGCGGCGCGGGGCGGCGGCTGCGGCAGATCCCATCATCACGGACCTGACGCTGCCGCCGGAGCCGCAGTGGGCGCCGACGGCCAAGGAGGTCGCCTACACGCCCGCCGTCACGGGCGACGACCTCCCGATGGTGGGCGGGTTCGACCGCTGGTGGGACCGCCCAGGCCACTGGACTGGCCGCCTGGGGTTCGAGCCCTTCTTCGCCGGCGGCGCCGCCAAGGTCAAGGACGCCGCCGCGCTCGAGGCCATCGTGCGCCGCGCGGCCGTCGAGGCCCTTGCTGTGCGCGCGGCCGCCGCCGGATCTGCCAATGAGGGGCACGGCGGGGCCGAGGTGACGCTCACGGGCCGCTGGGCCGTCGGTGGGCGCGAGGCTGCGCTCCGCGCGCTGGCTGATCCTCTGCAGGTGTCGCCGGACGGCAAGGCTTGCCTGGCGACCGAGTCGGTTGCTCCCCTGGTCGCCGACCTGACCGCGGACGTGGAGGGTGCGGGACCTGATACCCTGGACGCCGGCGAGGCGGCTGCCCTTGTAGAGACGTGGGGCCCCAGCTGGAAGGCCATGTCACTCGACGATGTAGCCCTCAAGTTTGCGGTATGTGGCCCCGGAATCGCAGCTACAGTGGTTCTACGAGGCCTGCAAGCGCGTAAAAAAAGGAGGAGAGAGAGCAAACGACTGACAATTATGTGCCCCCCACACATCACAGATCGCCAAGCGCGTCCAGCAGCTCTCCGGCCACATATTGGTGGACAGCAAGCTCAACAGCGTCCGCACAGTCAATGACCTGATCAAGGTCTTGATCACGCCACCGAAGCCGAAGAAGCTGGCGGAGGAGATCGAGTCACGCGGCGAGCTAGCCAAACTCCCCAACGTTGCCGTCTACAACCGCAGGGTCACGCCCATCGACAAGGACAAGATGGTGGGCCGCTGGAAGGTGGTCGTCCAGGAGCTCGAGAAGCGCGACCTCCCTGTCACGGGCAAGGGCAAGTACGGCCGGAGCGTCGAGAAGTCCTGGGTCAGGGGTGGAGCATGATGCCGGCCCCTTTTTGGCAACCATTTTCGGCACTGAGCGAGTCTATCTCGAGCCCGCATGTGACTATGTTGAGTCACTTTACCTGTCTGCGCTCCTGGAGGGAACGCGGTAGCTATGGGATTCCGTTCTCCTCGACGGCATTTCCTGTACAAATGGATTCATGCGTTGCGCTTCCCCGTCTTTGTTTCCCGGAACGAGAGAATCGACGGTTTCTAAAGATGTACTGGGCTGTACAAAATAATTGTCGGTATATTGGGAGGGCGTGTGGGATGTAAAAAAGCAAGGCAAAAATACTCAGATTACTAGCATCCATGGAGACACTCCCGTCCAGACATAGCCGGCTCGCCAAGAGGGGATCCCGACATAAGCAAGTTGCCGGAGCGAGGAAATAGAACACTTGGAAGAACAAGCCCTGCGCTGCGCAAAAAAAAGCGTGAAGCGCCGACGCTCTGCGCCTCCGCCGGTGGTGATGTTTGTACGTAACAGCTTTCCATTTATAGGGGGAGAGGCTGCCCCCATTCGCGGGCGGATCAGGCCCCCATTCGCGGGTGGATCAGGACCCCTGTCGCTGCGCCCAGGCTTCCCAGGGACAGCAAGGCGCCCACCAGTAAGTAGGCTTGGTCCCACGGCCTTCCGCATTTTCCCGAGAGGAACTTCAAGTCAGTGTGGCCTTGCACCCTGCAGCCTGCAGCCTGCAGCAAGCTGGACTCCCACCCTCTTGTACAGAACTGTCGAGGCCGTGAGACATGAACCAAAGCGGGCTTAGCTCAGTTGGGAGAGCGTCAGACTGAAGTTACACTTCGGGCATCAAATCTGAAGGTCGTGTGTTCGATCCACACAGACCGCATCTTTTTGGAAAATCTGCTGTTAAGGGAAATATGCTTTTCGTTTTGTTTCCCTTTTTGGCAGCCAATTTGGCTGGCCTAGCTGGCTTCTATGTCCATGTCCGCAGACATCCATGCCCAGTATTAAACGCTAAAATGTCCAATTACGCAGCATGGGACATGCACGATTCGTAGGACTGCCAAATGCACGCGAGACATGTTTGTTTACATTGACTAGTTGATGAGAATGGTCGGGGCGTTTGTTTATAAGATGCCGTAAAATGAATAAAAAAAATAAAAATTAGATTCCAAGAACTGGGTATCGAGCTAGGGAAATCCAACCCAATAATTCGCAACCAAAAACATAGAAAGGACGACCGAATTAAAACCCGCGTGTCCCTTTTCCCACAATCTGAGGTTGCCGTGATCCAATCCCAGCGCCTGACACAAAAACAAAAAGTGAAAAGAAAAAAAAACTCATAATGGAAAAGAAAATTTGTACAGGTAAACACAGGCGCCACGCTGCTTCACACCCAGGCCAAGAGCCACCAGCCGCTTTTTTTCTTTCGCAAATGGCCGTCTGTCACCAAAGGCCCGGTCGCGATCGATTGTCGCAGCTGTCTTGTCTTGGCAGGAGGCGTTTTGTTCGTTTGTATTTCTTTGGGCGTCCGAGACTGGCCCGCCCGCCGCCGCCCGAGCAAGAACTCGCCCCCTCTCCCTCGGGTAATCACACGCCGGAAAGAGGGGGTGGTGTTTGTCAGGCTGAGGGGGGCAGCGGGCCCATCTCGCACCGCCTAGTAGCACTGAGCGCACTGGACGTGCTCACACTGGCGGTTGCTGCAGCGGTTGCTGATGACGAATATTCCGCCGCAGCAGTGGCAGTGGCTGCCCTGCGAGAAAGAGAAGGACCGGACCGGGGCCGAGACGGCGCGCGGCGGCGACGAGGCGACGGTGCTGCTGTCGTAGACGAAGTTGTGCGTCTGCACGATCTTGAGGACTGGCGCGCGCTCGGCGGCCTGGTGGATGTGGCTGGGGGAGGACGGGGGAGAAGACATTTTTGTGTTTGTGATTGGTTTGTTTGGTTGGGGTTTGTGGCAACGGCGAGAAGGGCGGATGAGGGATGTGACGTCGGCAAGTGGTTTATGTTGTGGTTGTTTGTGTTGGTCTGTTCTTTGTCGTGGTGTTTGTGGGATACGTTGTTGCTCTTTTGTACTCGAGAAGGCGTGAGTGTGATCAGAAACTCTCTTCTGGGTGGGAGAGAGAGGGGGGAAGGCTCCCATTTTATGTCCCGTCTCCTCCCGTCCAGACAGCCTCTGGGGCGTGCGGTGGTGGTGGTGGTGGTGTGGGATGGACGGACTGTAATGAGAAAAATTAACATCCCGCCATCCACAAGAGGCTCTGGCAGCGCGCGCCCACACCCATGCACGCACACACGCCCCCCCAGTCCGTCGCACACACCTGGGGCTCGTTGCACCTCCGAAATAGGCAACCAGGCAGCCTCCTGTTTTCCATGACATAGCCCCATTAGTCGGCCAATTCGCAAACGGCAGCCTCTGACTGGCCCGGCCGCGGGCGGTTATCGTGCATACAGTCCCCTTCCAACCCGGGGAAGTGGGTGGCAGCGGGCGCGCGGGGGGTGTGTGAGTGTGTGTGAGTGTGTGTGAGTGGGTGCGGCCAGCCCCCTTGCCTGCTCTTCAAGGCTCAGCCGGTGCCCGGACATGGTTTGGGAGGGATCCCCGGCCACGACGATGAAGAAAGGCCGAAGAAAAAAAAAAACCGAGGAGAGAGGGCCATCACAGCCACTGACTTCAAACGCTTTGCTTGATCGTCTCTCTGGGGCCATCTCCGACCACTGACGGTCGCACATGGCCTGTTCTCTGCTGCCATTTTCGTGCGCACGTCGCCCTAGTGTTTCCGGTAGGAATCCTTCCCCTCATTTCTAGCCTGCAGTCTGGCCAAAAGTTAATGTCCTGTCTGTCCGGTGTCCTTGAAACAAGGCCCGGGCAAAGGGCAAATACCAAAGACCAAAGAGCAGGCACGCAGGCAGGGGATTTCTCATGTCCGTTCCATGCCCGCCACGAGGCTGTCTTGGCGGAGGCTTTTTTTTTGCCAATCAGACCACCCGATTCTCCCCGAACCATCCGTTCTCGCCCTTTCTCGCTCCTTTTCGTCTCACTTTTCCTTTCCCTCCCTCTCCCTTGGTGGTGGGACCGGGGTGTCGTCTGTGGTGTGGACTGACCAAACATGCCATTCTGATTCGTAACAAGGGCATGTAAAAAAGAAAAAGAAAAAAAAAAGCTTCGACAGCAGGGTCCCTTTTGCCAGAACTCAGGGCGCAGCACCATCAGCAAGCACCAGCAGTCCGCACTCTCCGGCTCGGCCGGATCAGGCTTGGCGCAGCATTCAACCTTGCAAAACCCTAAGCTAGGGGGGAGGACCCTAGACTAGGGAAGGGTTGCTGGGGAGCTCCCTGATCTTAATGCATGCTTTCCCCGCATTATGGCATTTTTCGCCCCCCCGGCACGTCAGGGTTCATTTCCCTTTTTTCCCTTTTTCTTTTGCTTGGTCAGCTTAGCTCCGCGACGGCTTTGGACCAATGGCGACCAAGACGACGGTCGATGGAAACGCGTAATGGCGCTGGCGCTCACAAGCGCAGGCGCTGGAGCAAGGCACAGCGTGGGGGGCCTCCCTCGCCGTTTTTTTACTCTTGTGCTCGAGAGACCCAATAGCTATCGCCTCGGCCAGCCAGAATGCACCGTCCCTACATAAACATCACTATTCCATCTGCGTCTCTTCCCTCAGAGTTTATAGGCGCGTCGGAAGTGAAAGCGCGCCAAGCCCTTAGCCGTCGCGACGACTACGCGCAAGGTCTACTACATCTGACTTGCCAACAAAGCCCAAGGCCCATTGAGCGGCCTTGGCGCAGACCATTGATGCGCACTCTGCCACCGATGCGTGAAACAAGCACGACCAAGTCAGGACGCCATCTCGCTCTCCTTGTCTCTCCCTCTCTCCCGCTGAAAGAAAAAGGAGGCACCGACGTCATAGGGGGTTCCACATAAGGCCGCTAGCCCACACCGGCATACCCAGGCCCGCCGCCATTGCATCGGCCACAATGCCAGTAGCGTCGTGTGTTTTTAACGTGTGGGCCAATTGCGTGCCGAGGCGTTCCACAGGCCGGCGGCCCAAATGGAGATCCGAAGGCAGCAATCCAATGAGAAGAATGCCTTGCCATGCTCGCCTGTTGCCGCCCATGGTTGATCCCTCCCCCACCCCGACCTCGCGCCGCAGGACAGATTTGCTTGTAGATCTTCGGAGGCCGGGAGCCAGCGCCGACGCGCTACACACCATCAGCGCTTGTCGGTCGTCGAAGAGGAAAGAAAGTGCGGTGCCGATGTGCGGTGTTTGGTGTTTGGTATTTGGTATTTGCATGTCAAGATATTGCACGCGTACCACCAGGAGCCCTTTTTGCTGCCCCGTTCCTCGGCAAAGACAGAGTGTGTAGGGGCCAGATGCCTTGGCTGGCATAGCAGGCTTGGGTGCAAAGACTGGGCGTATCAACGGACGGGCTACCTACATCATAAGGTTGTCCCTCCCCAAGTGCCGAAACATGCTGCGCATCGCACACAGCAACCTTGTCCTTGTCCTACCCCGCATCTCGACCCAAGATGCAGGCAGACACAAGCGCAAATCTGGATGGTGCCCAGCCAGAACCCGACGCCACGGGGTGTCCCGAACACGGAGAGAACATTCATGACAAGATGGACAAGACATCGTCACACCCAAGTTTGCATGTGTCTTGTCATTTGTACGAGATGTGGGTAACACCCAATAAAAACAGTGGCGCGGCACCTTGTTGGGTGTCACCGTGTTTGGGTTCAGGGCTAAACTCTACTCTAATAATACGTTTGGTAAATATAACCACATGGGTCAAAAAGGAAAAAAAAAGTAGGTGTGTGTGTAAAAGCAAAAGCATACAATTTTCGCGGAATTCTCTCTCGCCGGGAATTGAACCCGGGTCTCGAGCGTTGTGTTTTGATGACAAGCTCGCATACTGACCACTATACTACGAAAGATGATTGGTTGGAGGCGGCCAGCGTGGCGGATCTCATGAGGCAGACGAGAATTATCCCCACCAGGTCCCAGAGATCACAAATCTTAGTACGGTGGATCCTGATGGTACATCAGTTTGGCTTGGTTTTCTAAGGAAGAAAATGTATCTTGCATCCACCACACTAGGGTTTGTGATCCCTGGGACCTGTAGATAAGGGACATTTGCCAAACCCTTAGGCAACCAACTGCAAACCAGATCCCCAAACATCACAAACAGTCTCACCTAACCCAGAGGTTCGGGAGATTGCCGGCGATGGCAAGTGCAGGATCTGTCCTTTTGATCGATGCCTGAAGCCTTATTCGCCTACCAACCTACCTAATCTCGATCTGTTCAGTCTTTCCGTCGGATGTGGGTCCGCGACAGTGCCACAATACACAGAAAGGCAGCCTCGGTGGGGGTCAAATCGTGGAGGCACTGCAGTATGTAACTATAGCCGCCTCACCGGTCTGCCAAAGTCCTGGGCCTCCCGTCCCCCTTTTTTACACCCCAGACCCCTGAACCATGATGTGTGAGATGGAAAGCACCCGGGTTTACGGTGGCTGTCCTTCGGTGACTGTATTTGCCGGTAGGAGCCCTCCATGCTACACCGCAGGATCCCCCCCTGGGTTTGCTGGGCCGCAGGGCCCGGTCCTCGGCCAACTCCAGCAGAGTCAGCGTGGCTCCTCGTCACGATTGTGTGTGCGGGACCCGTGGCCGCCGGCCGTTGGGTTGCGCTTATATGTGTCGTAGAAAGGATGGGGGAAATATGCTTCAAGCGCCTGCCGCTCTCCTTGAATGGCGCCGAGGTGGATGCCAGTCGCAACGGACACCCTTTGGAGTTTGCATCACATGTGCCCGGAAAAGACAGAGGAGGAGGCCAGCGCAGCAGCAGATGGGTGCAGCTCCCTTGGGAGCGTTCGCCTTCAACCGGAGCCGCCAACCGCTAGGTGACCCTCCGCGCGCTAGAGGGATTAGGGGCCACTTGCCAGCAGGTCAGGGCAGGTCCTACAGGTCCTAGGTTTGGCCACTGCCATTCTTTGCGTCAAACTTTGAATGTGTGGGACCCAAACACTTCGACAGGTAAACCTCCACGTACTTAAAAGGGATTGGATCCCTCTGAGAGGATCTAGAGTTGCTCCTCCTCAGAATCCCATCGCGCGCTTGGAAAGCCACCAACCTGAGAGATAACGACCATAAACTGGCGTAATGGTATGAACATTGCCTGTGTTGACAACCCACGAGACTTGGTCACGGAGCTAACCATGAAGTTACCGGGCGGTAGGCTATCAAGCTCATTGTGCCCATCGACGAGGCCGGGCCCTCCTCTGCCCAGATCGCAGGGAACCATGTCCCGCAACCCGGCGGCGTCCCCGCCCCAGACCCGAACCAGACCACCGAGCCTCGCCCGCCACCGGCCACGGACCCGGAGGGCCTAGAGTTCAACGTGCGGCCCCTGAGCAGCGCCAAGGGCATCATGGTCAAAGTGCAGCCGCCCAAGGCGCCCGAGGGGGTGCCGGCCGACTACCATGTGCCCTGCGATATCGTCCTGGTCATCGACGTGTCCTCGAGCATGAACACCACGGCCGTGCCGCCCGCCAGGGAGGGCGAGGCCCCCGAGAACCACGGCTTCAGCACGCTCGACCTGGTCAAGCACGCCGCCCTCACCATTCTGGCCACCCTGGACGGGCGGGACAGGCTTGGCATTGTCAAGTTCAGCTCCAAGGCAAAGGTGCGTCCGTCGCTCGCCCCGTCTGATGTGGTGGCGAGGTGACATGGATTTGTTTTTCTCTCGAATCGTTACTGACGCACAACCGGTGGTCCAGGTGGTGATGGAGCTTCTGCCCATGACCGAGGAGAACAAGGGGTTTGCCAAGAAAGAGCTCCTGAAGCTTCGACCGGACGGGCTGACTGCCATTTGGGACGGCATCGCCGCCGGGTTTAGCGTCTTTGAAGGGAAGCAGGATGGCAGCAACAGGGTTCCTGCCATCATGTTCATGACTGACGGCGTGCCGACCGACGAGAGGTTAGTTTTCTTGCACTTTGTTGCTATTCGAAACCGCATACTTGGCCCTTGCTAACTTCGGCGGCCGTTTTTAATATTTCGTTCGTAGCCGCCACCACAGAGGCTACGTACGCAAGCTACAAACGGTCGCCCCTTTCCCGGCCCCCATCCACACCTTCGGCTTTGGATATAATCTCCATTCGGGTACCCTGAAGTCCATCTCCGAGGTCACTGGTGGCCACTATGCCTTCATCCCCGACTGCGGAATGATTGTGGGTTGTTTCCAATACATCTGGAGCTTGGAGAGAGACTTGCCGATGCTGACTTGACAACGTAAACTAGGGCACCGTCTTCATCCACGCCGTCGCCAACCTACAGTCTACATATGCGACCGAGGCCCAGCTGAAGATCAACTTCCCGACAACCCTGGGTCTCAAAGCAGCCATGGGAAAGAGCCTTCAGATCTCAACCACGGAGGAGGAGGAGGGACCTGACAGTGGACAAGAGGCCAAGCGGTCATGCCTGACTGTCGGCCTCGGGGCCTTGCAGTTCGGAATGTCCAAGGACCTCTATTTTGAGCACAATGGAGAGATGGCTCAGCTGGAAGGCTACCTCTCGGCCGATCAGACCGTGGCGGCCGAGCTCAGCTATAAGACGGTGGGCGGCGAGCGCCGCACCATGAAGTTGGACAGGAACCCGTTCCGCGCCGACGACCCGCCCGAGGCCGAGGTCGCCTACCACGTGTCCCGCTCGATGCTCTGCAACTTCCTCTCGTCCCTCTTCCCCTTCTCGGACGACGACCAGCGCCTGCTGTACGCCTGGGGCATCGAGAAGACGCTGTGCGAGGACCGCATCCCCATCGACTCGGAGATCGCCGCGCGGCTGGACGGCGTCAAGCGGGCCATGCCTGCGTGGGGTCGGGTTTTCGAGTGTCTGGACTGCAAGTCCCTGATCATGGACGTCGAGGGCCACGAGCCGAACGGCCAGGTGGGGCTGGCCCTGTCGTGCGGCGAATACTGGGGGCGCTGGGGCGGCCACTACCTGCTTGGCCTGCTCGACGCGCACGCGCGCCAGGCCTGCAACTCGTTCAAGGACCCCGGCCCGAGCCGCTACGGGCTCGCCAGCCCCCTGTTCGCCGCCTGCCGCGACCGCCTGGACCTCGCCTTTGACGCCGTCGAGCCCCCGACGCCGTGCGAGCGGCCCCCGCCCCCGTACAGCAGCGGCGGCGGCGTCGGAGCCGTCGCCGTCAGCAGCCATCGGCAACCGTACTCCATGAGCATCATGTACAACAACGCCAGCGCGCCCTGCTTCGCCGGCGACACGCGCGTCCGCCTGGCCGGTGTCGGTGCCTCTGCGGCTGCGGCTGCTGCTGCTGCTGCGGCGACGGCGGCGCCCAAGG